CAGAGTTAGAGGGTTTTACTCCAAAGGCTTTATCAACTTGCCACTTGCCTATACCAGAGACTTCATCCCACTTGAACGTTCACACATTCCCACCTCTGAAACTGCCAAGAGATGGAAACATCTAATCAGAATAGCACAGGAGATGCCCGAGTTAATGGATTGCAAGGTCGGGCTGTTAATAGGCTACGACTGTTCTAGAGCACTGGCACCACGGCAAGTAATCGCGGGAGGTGACGAAGAGCCATATGCAATCAAGACAGACCTGGGCTGGAGCATTGTTGGCAGTTCACAAAAAATGGCAACATCAACAGAAGTGACAGGCCTGTGCCATCGCTTATCTGTTAAGGAGCTTCCACCTCTGACACCAGCCACCATCATCAGAGTACTTGAGTCAGATTTCAAAGACACAGCTCCTGGAGAAAAGAGCATATCACAAGATGACATACAGTTCATGCATCTGCTAAATGAGGAAATACACCAGAATGCTGACGGGCACCTAGAGATGCCACTTCCCTTTAAGGCACGCCCTCAGCTGCCAGAAAATAAGCGTCTGGCTCTGGTGCGACTTAAGCACCTGAAAGGGAAGTTTGAGAAAAACCCCAAATTTAAGGACGATTATGTAAGGTTCATGGACAATGTCTTCAAGGAAGGTGATGCTGAAAGAGCTGAAGATGATCCCAGAGAAGGAAATACGTGGTACATTCCACATCAAGGCATCTATCACCCAAGAAAACCAGAAAAAATCAGGGTTGTGTTTGACTGCTCTGCAAAGTACAGTGGCACAGCTCTGAATGATCACCTCTTGACCGGACCTGACCTCATCAACAGTTTGACTGGAGTCCTCTGCAGATTTCGCCAACACCCTATTGCAATAATCTGTGATGTAGAGAAGATGTTTCACAGATTTCATGTAAACAGAGAAGACAGAAATTACTTGCGATTCCTGTGGTGGGAAAACGGTGAAACAAACACAGAGCCAAAAGAATTTCGCATGAAAGTCCATCTTTTCGGGGCAGCATCCTCACCAGGCTGCGCAAATTATGCAATGAAGTATCTTGCGAGCCAAAATGAAAGGGAACATCCAACAGCAGCCAACTTCATCAGAAGTAGCTTCTATGTTGATGATGGGCTAGTCAGTGTAAAAACTGTGAATGCAGCCATTGAACTAGTGAGAGATGTGCGGAAGGTGTGTGCGAAGGCAAGATTACGGCTTCACAAGTTCATATCCAACAACAGAGAAGTCCTGGAGTCAATTCCAGATAGTGAACGAGCTAGTGGAGCCCAGGATGTGGACATCAGTCATCATGAACTCCCAGTTCAAACTGTGTTGGGAGTAAGGTGGAGTGTAAGCTGTGACACCTTCTCCTTTAAAGTTGCCCTGGAGGAGAAACCAGTATCACGACGGGGAATTCTTTCCATTATCGCCTCTGTGTTTGACCCATTAGGCTTCTTGGCTCCTTTCCTTCTAATAGGAAAGAAAATTCTACAGGAAATGTGTCTAAAGAACATTGGATGGGATGAGCCACTGCCTAGTGAATTGAAGCCACAATGGGAGAGTTGGGTCACTGATCTGAAGAACCTGCAGCAACTCCAAATCCCAAGATGCTTTATACCTGAAAACCTTGGAAAAGTCCAAAGAATAGAACTCCACCACTTTTCAGATGCGAGCAATCGCGGGTATGGTCAGTGCTCATATGTCCGGGTGATGAGTGAAGACAAAGTGCATTGCTCCTTAGTCATAGGCAAAGCAAGAGTTGCACCCACGAGAGTTGTAACCATACCAAGGCTGGAATTAACAGCAGCAGTGGTGTCTGCAGCAGTCAGCAGAATGCTAAAAGAGGAACTGGAGCTCAAAATTGATCAAGAGTATTTCTGGTCTGATTCACGGGTGGTTTTGGGCTACATTAACAACGAAGCCCGCAGATTTCATGTTTTTGTTGCTAATAGAGTGCAAAGAATCAGAGAAGCAACTGATCCAGCACAGTGGCACTATGTTGACACCAATCAAAATCCAGCAGATCACGCTTCCAGAGGCCTCACAGTGGCAGAACTGATCAGTTCAAATTGGTTCACTGGACCTCATTTCCTGTGGGAAAGAGGGTTTGTCACACCAGACTCAACTCCAGACCTTCTGGTAGGTGATCCAGAGGTCAAAACGACACAAATACTACGTACAAAGGTAGTAGAGGACAGGAACTTCTTGGAGAGACTCAAAAGGTTCTCAAAATGGCATACAGCAGTAAATGTAGTTGCTAGGATTCAGCAACTAGCCAAAAGAGCCAATGCAACAAAGGGTATAAATGTGGAAGATAGGAGAAAAGCAAGTCATGTGCTTATAAAATTAGCACAAGAAGATGCTTTCAAGGAGGAAATACAAACACTGAGCCATGGTAAATTACCACAGAGCCATCCTTTGTACCAACTTGATCCAATATTGCAAGATGGCGTTCTCAGGGTAGGAGGGCGGTTAAGGAAGGCTTCCTTACCGCTTGACTTGAGGCATCCAATAATCCTACCCAAACATGGCATAATTACTCACCTGATTTTAGATCAGTGCCATGAGAAAACCCAGCATCAAGGCAGAGGACAGACACTTAATGAACTAAGAGCAAATGGTTTCTGGGTTATTGGTGGGAGCAAAGTTGTAGCTAATCACATTAAGCAATGTGTTACATGCAGGAGAGTTCGCAGGCCAACAGAAACACAAAGGATGGCTGATTTACCGGCAGCTCGTGTTGAACCCTCACCACCATTTTCCTATTGCGGGATGGATTGTTTTGGACCTTTCCATACTAAGCAAAACCGCAAGGACTTTAAGAGATACGGTCTTCTATTCTCTTGTTTGTCCTCTAGATCAATCCACATAGAAATGTTGGAAGATCTCACGACAGATGCCTTCATAAATGCTTTACGGTGTTTTATAGCTATTCGTGGAGCCATCAGACAAATCAGATCTGATCAAGGAACAAACTTTGTTGGGGCAAAAAATGAACTGACAGAGGCCTTAAGGGAAGTAGATAAGGACAGACTGTCTGCTTACCTGGCCAGGAAACAGTGCGACTTTGTCATGAATGTGCCTGACGCCAGTCATATGGGAGGTGTTTGGGAACGGCAGATAAGGACAGTCAGGGGCGTCTTAACCAAGGTCCTTTCACAGAGTGCTGGAAGATTAGATGATGCTTCTTTGAGAACATTTTTCTATGAAGCCATGTCGATTGTTAATAGCCGTCCTCTTACCACAGACAGCATCAGTGATCCCAAAGGCTTAGAGCCACTCACCCCAAACCACTTACTCACCATGAAAACCTCTGTACCACTGCCTCCACCTGGAAAATTTGTGCCAGAAGATCTGTATGCCAGAAAAAGGTGGCGCAGAGTTCAATATTTGGCAGAGCAATTCTGGAGTAGATGGAGGAATGAGTACCTCTCAAATATCACATTAAGACAACGCTGGCACTCCCCAAGACGAAATGTTAGAATAGACGACATTGTCATTGTGAAAGAAGAAGGAATCCCTCGCAGTGAATGGAAGCTCGGGAGAGTACTGGATGTTTGCAAAGATGAAGAGGGTCTGGTTCGGAAAGCCAGAATACAACTAGGAAACAGGAAACTATCGAAAGAGGGTGAAAGGCTCAATAAACCATCCACTCTTGAACGCCCTATACATAAATTAGTGGTCCTAATAGAGAGTAATTAGAATGTTCCATTGGAACTTCTGTAAATGTATATGGGATGGTTAAAGTATTAGACTTGACTTGCAAGATTAAGTACTGTTTGGTTCTGAAAATTTCTAGATTTATTCATATTATTAACAGTTCATAAATCTTAGTAATTTGGTGGGAGTGTAACTGTCCCTGAGACAGTTAAAATAAAGTTGTTTATTTCAAATGTTTCTGTGATAGAGAGATGCTTAATTTGGTTCATTTAATTACTAGATAAGATGATAAAAGTGTAACATTGATTTAAAAACATGTCTAAAATATGTGATTAAAAAATATGGGTTTGTTAAATATGTAACGTGCTGTAAAGTTTGTATGAGGTAGAGTTTGTAATGGTCACATGATCAGAGTTTGTTTGACAGCGCTACCATAGCAACCATAGCATGGATACATAGCTACAGATGTGTCTACAGCCTCGACGTTAATGTCATTCTGCATGTGGTCCAAGAGGCGCACACGGTATGGTTTCATGTATAATGTTTGTATAATGTTGCATATGTGTTCTACACTGTTAATGAGAGGACATTTTGTGATTCATTATTGCGCATTTTCTTTCTGTTCTGCTTGCACGAGACTGTTTATGGACAATGGTATGAGAGACTGATAAGTTCAAACCGTTATTGTGTAAACTTTGTGTTTCTTCAGTTTTCACGGTGTCTGAAGATAATAAGAGAGAGAGAGAGAGAGCCAAATAAACATCCGAAGACATCAGTATGATGCGTGGCCATCCTTTGTTGGACCCCTGTAGTTACAGCCGTTTTATTTAGTGTTTTACCAGAATGTCATTTAGTGATTTTTCAGTATTGTTGAGGTTTTACCTTTTTGTGGAGCGCTTTGGTCAGTTCTTAAACAGTTGTAAGATGCTATTTAAATAAAGTTAGCTTGGCTCCTTTAATCCATCATGAGAACTTTTACAGTCTGATCTCAAATATTGATGCCAGACATTTGGCTCGTGTTTGTATCAGAGCCATGGGTCACCTGCTTGAACTTATTACACTTTTTGTTTGTTTTCTTGTAATATTTTAAAGAGGCATCTTTAGATTTGAACAATAAACTTTCATTTTGACTTTTCTCATGAGCCGTTGCTCGATATTTTCATTAAAACCAACTACTGAACACATGAGAAATTCACTTTATGGGGCAATGTTTTTAATGTTAACGTAATCTTAATTAGGTTAAAAACCCTTTAAGTCTTTGGTGTTTTAACGTCCAGATAAGGTATCTCACCATTAGGAAATGGTGTTAATAAGTCAGAAAGCTAGGAGACTCCTTAACTCTGACCTTTGGCAGCTCGTTGATGACACACTGAGCAGGAAGATGGGAGGCGATTTTAGTTAGGATCTCCCATGGCAACGACAGTAAACCACTGGGCTCAGCAGGTGATGGGCTGAGATCAGCTGAGGAAAAGCTGACAGCAGACGGACTGAAAGGAGCATGAACACCAAGTGTGACTATGATTCTGAATCAGTAAGAGCAGACATAATAACAGGAAAACAAAAGCCTCACCCCTGCAGGTCTGGCTGGTCCGTGCAGGGAGACCTCGAAGGCTCCGGAGGACATCTTGGTCCACCAGGGTACTCATCTGGTCCTCCTGCCTGTGCTTCGTTCAGGCTAACCCTGCCGTCCGACATCCCCTTCCTCACTGGCTGTAAGCTAGCATGTCTTCTGCTACTATTTCAGGAGAAACCGCCAACTGTAACAACTAACCAAAACAACTAGCCCTGTACTGGAAACACTAAATCGTTATCAGCAAATAGTCAATATAAATTGAAATAAATGCCCGTTCCGTTTAACAAAACAGCTGGAAGCGAAGTTGTTTATCGAATATTTAGTTAAAATTATTCTCACAGAAACAGCAGCTGACGTTACTTTAGTTGGAAAAACACCGAATTCGCTTTCAGACAGCCGTTTAACGTGTGTCAAACATTCAAAACGCAACTTCCGACATTACGTCATGTCGTCATCACGCTGCGGCAGACTGACGTTTTTTTATTATTAGAGAAAAATGACAAAACATGAGAATATACAATGTTTTAGATAAAACCACACCCATTCACACAGCTGTAAACCATTAGAAGTTCAAATCATCACATTAATTCCAGAACTTTTGATTTTTCACATTTCATTCATTTTAAGGCAAGCTAGAGATTTTTTTTAAAAAGATGTTTTTCTAACAGTGTAAATACGGTTTACTCTCTTCCATTTTGAGCAAAAAATAAATTATTTTGAGCGTAATAATAAAATATTTATAGTCTTGCAAGGCTGATCCCAAAACTATTGTTATCCAGAGTTAAAGTGCACTGTTGCTGGATTTTAGAAGAAAGCCAGTTACTGGTACAGTTGTGGTCAGAAGTTTACATACACTTGTAAAAAATATAATATAATGGCTCAACTGAGTGTCCCGTTATTTCTAAAACTCTGATTTTTCTCTGATAGAGTGATTGGAACAGATACTTCTTTGTCACAAAAAACATTCAGGAAGTTCGGTTCTTTAATGTCTTTATTATGGGTTAACAGAGAAAAGTGATCACATTTGCTGGGTCACAAATATACATACAGCAACATGAACTAGCAATTTAGGTGACTTAGAACCTAACCCATGAGCTTCATAGCATGGCCTCTTAACTTCTTGTGAGTGATTATGAGTGACTACAGCTGGTGACTTCTCTTAGGCCAGGTAAATAGGGCTCATTGGATACAAACGCCCACAAACGCTACAATGGGAAAGTCAAAGAAGCTCAGCATGGATCTGAAAAAGCGAATTATTGACTTGAACAAGTCAGGAAAGTCACTTGGGGCCATTTCAAAGCAGCTGCAGGTCCCAAGAGCAACAGTGCAAACAATTGTTTGTAAGTATAAGGTGCATGGCACTGTTTCATCACTGCCAAGATCAGGAAGAAAATACAAGCTATCACCTGCTGCTGAGAGAAAATTGGTCAGGAGGGTAAAGAGTGAACCAAGAATCACCAAAAAGCAGATCTGCCAAGAATTAGAAGCTGCTGGAACACAGGTGTCATTGTCCACAGTCAAACATGTTTTGCATCTCCATGGACTGAGAGGCTGCCGTGCAAGAAGGAAGCCCTTGCTCCAAAAGCGGCACCTTAAGGCTCGACTGAAGTTTGCTGCTGATCACACGGACAAAGATAAGACCTTCTGGAGGAAAGTTCTGTGGTCAGACGAAATGAAAATCGAGCTTTTTGGCCACAATGCCCAGCAATATGTTTGGAGGAGAAAAGGTGAGGCCTTTAACACCAAGAACACCATGCCTACAGTCAAGCATGGTGGTGGGAATATTATGCTGTGGGGCTGTTTTGCTGCCAATGGAACTGGTGCTTTACAGAGAGTAAATGGGATAATGAAGAAGGAGGATTACCTTCACATTCTTCAACATAACCTAAAATCATCAGCACGAAGGTTGGGTCTTGGGCGCAGTTGGGTGTTCCAACAGGACAATGACCCCAAACACACATCAAAAGTGGTAAAGGAATGGCTAAATCAGGCTAGAATAAGGGTTTTAGAATGGCCTTCCCAAAGTCCTGACTTAAACCCCATTGAAAACATGTGGACAGTGCTGAAGAAACAAGTCCATGTCAGAAAGTCCTCAAATTTAACTGAACTTCACCAATTCTGTCAAGAGGAGTGGTCAAAGATTCAACCAGAAGCTTGCCAGAAGCTTGTGGATGGCTACCAAAAGCGCCTAATTGAAGTGAAAATGGCTAAGGGACATGTAACCAAATATTAGCACTGCTGTATGTATATTTGTGACCCAGCAAATGTGATCACTTTTCTCTGTTAACCCATAATAAAGACATTAAAGAACCAAACTTCATGAATGTTTTTTGTGACAAAGAAGTATCTGTTGCAATCACTCTATCAGAGAAAAATCAGAGCTTTAGAAATAACGGGACACTCAGTAGAGCCATTATATTATATTTTTTACAAGTGTATGTAAACTTCTGACCACAACTGTAAATAAAAAATGCACTGGTAATGTCTGTGGCACCTCAGTTTATAAGACCAACACCAGTGGCTTTGCTTGCTTGTATTCTAGATCTATCTTGTTTTTTACCCAAAGCTGATGACCATTGGTGACAATAAGGACAAAGATCAACAGTTAAAATAAAAGCTTTGGTTTCTGGCGTAGCTCTCTCCTCTCTACGTCACTGCAGATGCTGCCCCGATCCACCTGCTGCTCCCCTCCTTCCCTCACTGGCCTACAAGACCCAGAGATACCTAAACTCCTTATCTGCAGTGGAAGGAGGATCAGAATCAGATTTCTTAACCAGTGGAGGCATCTGCTGGTCCTTCTGATCTCAGCACTCCCAAAGGTTAAAGGTCAAAGAGAGTTATGACCAAATCATGATTCGTAAGTTTGCTCATTTGGGATCATACATCTGCTGAAAAATGCATTAATTTCTCATCTTTGAATCACCTCAAAACCTTTCATGACTTTAGCAGTGCTGCTATTTTAACACGGAGTTGAAAACGTATAATTATAAATGTATCTATAATTGTTGTGATTTGTTGTTTCATTTCAGGCAGCAAATCGCCTTTTTAACATCAGTGTAAATCAGCAGCTGCAGGGCACTGAAAGGGAATAGAATCAGGGGCGTGTCTAGAGGGGGTCCAGGGGAGGGTTCCACCACATATAATTGTGTTTGTGCATATAATTAATAAATGAGTAAACATGCATTCATTGTATCTCTTTGCACGTACATGGACTTGTGTCTGTGCTAGGATAGCTGCACAGGAGGAAATCAGAAAGGGGTGGAGCCTACTAAGCTATTGCTTCATCCATTTTTTTTAAACAGAAACGGTTTTGTTACCTGTTATTGACGCTACAGTTTCGCCGACGGCTGCCGGCTTCTTCAGGCTGACGCTGATGGTGGCGCGTCACTTCCTTATCCGTTTATCTTACAATAAAAAGGTCAGCCGTAACAGATCATTGCTTAAGAGAAAACCATATAATGGACTGGGACAGCACACGGATCATAACCACTGAACAACAAAAATACAGAAGATGGCTCAAGGAAGCAATCGAGATAAGGAGACGTGGATGCGGGACCATGAAGAGGGACGACGGAGTTTACACGCTGGACCACGCATGGGACTGCATTGTCGGAGAGGGGAGAGCGGGCAGTAGAGGGCGACAACGTCCTCTGCTGCCCGCAGATAAACGGAGAAGGAAGTGACGCGCCACCATCAGCGTCAGCCTGAAGAAGCCGGCAGCCGTCGGCGAAACTGTAGCGTCAATAACAGGTAACAAAACCGTTTGTGTTTTAAAAAAGAACAACAACATGGAATGTTGCATAATGTTTTTGTAAAGCCGTTTCTGCTGCTAAAAATACTCACCGAGGTGGCGGCTTTATAAAATGTTATGGTCCTCTCAGTCCCTCCTGCACTTTTATTTGCAAATTGATTTGATCTGAAAATAAACCAACTTCTGAAGTCAAATGGCTGCTGCTGCCAACGCAGCGATAACGACCATTACAGAAAACGAGGAAACATTAAAGGTGCAGTATGTAAGAAAATCCCAGGAGTCTAATGTTTCAGTCTTTATGGAAGGAAGGTTATGCTGAAACCTTTCATATCCACCTGTCTACTGAATTGTCAGTTTTCCTCTTTTCTAAACAAAGGAAGGAGGGACGCGAGTACTGTTTACCATCAGTGAGTGTGGGGTTGTCTCCTGCGAGATGATACTGCAGCACCCACAAAATTTCATTATTTCACGACGACCAGCAAAAAGTTTCAGTTGTTTAAAGTAGTTGCAGTAACCAAATTGCTCAATAGGGTGTCATGTTTACTTTATTTCTACATAATGCACCTTTAATGTGCTCTGAGCTCTGCTTGTTGGACCAGGGCTCTCCATCCTAGTCCTGGAGGGCCCCATCCAGCACGTTTCGTTTCGTTTCCCTTCACGAAAAATAAAACTTCAGCACAACTCGACACTTTTCAGCTGCTTTATTTAGTAGAAATTTTAAAATAAAACAGGCTAACGGGGATTCTCTGAGAATGGCAATTCATAGAGCTGAGATTTTCCAACACAAAATTCAAACATCCTCAAATGTCATAAGGACAATAATGTAGATCTAAATTTCAAACCAACTCAAGCTGAATAGAAACTAGTTTCCCTCTCACAAAATTAAATTAACTGGGATACAGATCATCTTACAACCTGTAATAAATTTATGCAAAAAAGCTGCTGCACTGAATCCAGTTGCCAACCTCGATACTGAAGTGAAACAAAGTTGTAATTTGTTTGCTAGACTTCACCCCAAACGTACTCGTCCTGCATCAACACAGTGAATAGATACGCTGTAAAACAACGAAAACAAAATGGCTCTTTAAAGAAAAAGAATAAAAAGCAAAACAAACAAAAAACTTTTAAAGTCCAAGACAATTTGTGCATCAAAGCACAATTTAAAAAAACAAAAAAATAAATAAAAAAAATGACACGAGCTTAAAAAACCAAAGTAAAAAAACAAAACATTTAACTTCAACCGGTTGTACGTTTTACACATCAGCATGGCAACAAATAGCAAAGCTTGGCTTGTTTTTAGAAACTAACAGGAGTCCCTGGAGCTGAGTCATGTTATCTTCGTGGAGCTGAGTCATGCCATCTTCAGTATTCTCACTGTGGAGCTAATGAAGGGGTTCAAATTCTCAAACACGGTTAAATCAAGAAAAAAATTAAGTCACGTTTCTTGGAGAATAAATCACATTAATGCTCGTCTCCACATTACATAACCCATAAACAAAGTGACTTCATGCTACAACAATAATCTATATTTGGAAGTTTCGAGCAACATAATCAGGCTGGAAAACATCGTGACACCTGAGGTCAAAGAAAAAACAACCATTACAGTCGGGCTGTTTTAAAGGGTTTCCATAGACACAACCGTCCTATATGGACCAGAGGAGTCGGGGAATATCCAGCCTAGTAAAAAGCCTCTCTAGTTTCATCAAACCTGGACTGATGTGGTACCTACTACATCAGTCCAGCAGTGAGTTCACCAACAAAGGCAAAGCTCTGTTAGTATTTTAAAATAATATCAGGAAAAACAGAAAAAAATCAAGCAGAGGACGGCTCAAATGGATAGTGGTAACAACGGGGGGAGCTACGTTATCAAGTCCTGCTGTGTGAATTTACTCATTATCCTAAAATCACTTATCAAAAACACTAAGCAGTATACGACTGTAAGCTTTACATCAGAAACTACGTCTGTCAGAAAAGAAAAAGTGCATTTAAACCATTGTTGAAGAAGTCATCTGGCGCTCATTAGGTTCTTTATTTAAATAGACTAAAAACAAGCAGCAGCAGCAAAAATGATTCAGGATCAGCTTACAGTATTACATCAGACAGCAGCCTATTCCTGGATTACTCTACGGTCAGTTTGAAGAAACACACACACACACACAGCCTCTGCACTATGGAGAATATGAAGGACAAGAAAGAAAACAAGCATCCAGCCTCTGAGTCACGGCAGCTCCCTCATATGGACGGTTACAAACCAAAGAGACGTTCACAGAAACATGCAACCAAAGAGGTGATCATGCAGAATCCTTATTGCCTGGAGAGGAACTTATTCAACTAAATGTTAATAGAGACTCATGAAAAAGTCGATGCAACTTTGCAGTAAAAGGTGCAGCGATTGTTTTGTGCACAGTAAAAGCATCTGTTCTGGCTCTGATTCCAGACCTGTGAAAGCTACGAGTGAGTCACTCTACATGCGCTGTAGTATTTGGGACTGTGGCACCCTACGCTGGTTTGGATAATTCATTTCTGTACTCACCCCCCCACCCCACCCCCAGTCCACCCAGCAGCTGTTTCATGAGGACGATCCGTTGGAGGCGGGGGAGGTCAAATGCTGCCCTGATTGTGCCCTCGCCTACTTTAGATCCCTGCAGAGGTGTTGGCGAAAGTCGCTTTGAGTGTGTAGCAAGTGAGGCGTTTAATCTGAGAGGTATATTTATAACCCCAGTTGACCCTCCCACACCCACCACCCTCCTCCCACCCTCCCTGACGGAGACGAACGGCCCACGGGGGCAGGAGGCCATCCGTGGGGTGGAGGTTCGAGGCCCGTTACGACCCTCCAGCTTTAGTTTCTCCCCGTGGTTTGGGCAGTGCAATGAGTTCCCCGGTTACCCTCCCACTGATGAACCTGGAAAGACAAACGGAAACAAGCCGCAGCTTTTCAGCCATCAGAGGAGAAAGTCAGATTCTGGATCAGAAAGCGACACTAAATTAATCATCAACTGTCACTGAGCTGGGACTGTCATCACCTTCAGGAGGACAGGGAGGTCATGTGACCAACAGGAACTCACCTGACAGGTCAGAGAGGGGTCACGTTAGACTCCGTAACAGGCTGACAGGCGCTCTTTTAACAAGGGAGGGAACTGCTCAGAGAACTTTTGCCAGTTCTCTTCTCCGACCTGATCCTTGAAGCCGTGCAGGATCTAGGAAAAAGATGCAACGCTCTTCAGGAATCCTTCTCATCTAAAACATCTGGAAACATCTCAGAAGCTCTTCGCTGCACTGCTAAAGCTGTTGAAGCACAGACGTTTAAAAGCAGGAACCACCACATCTCTCAGAGTTATGATCATCCACAGCATAAATCAGATTTCGAATGTCTGATGAGATCTTCATCACAGAGCGTGGTGAGCAACACGACCACCCGCTCTTCCCAACGAGACGCTCACCTTACAGAACATGTCTCTCAGGTCCTCCTTTGGGTTGACCCATGAAGCCACAGCATCACAGAAGAAGATGAAGTCCTGGACACGTGTGATGCGTTAGAAGCATGAAAACTAAATCCGACCTCAATTATCTCATCACCACCCTCACCTGCACCACTCCTGCAGGGTTCACCTGGATCATCACACAGATTCCCCGGAAGGCTGAGTCCTTCTCCTCGTTATCTCGGATATTCCTCAACGATGTGCACCTGACACAGAATAACATGTATACATTCTAAAATGTCTTCATGGGTCACACATGGGTAAAGTAGTCAAGAGGAGAATGAGGCACTTTAAAATGTTCACAGAAGCCTCACCATGGCCTGATGAAGCGCTGCAGCTGTGGTGCTACCTCCTGAGGACAGACGAAGCCTAGCCTGCCGATCGTGATGGCTACACACGCACACACACACACACACACACACGCAGCAGCAGATGAAACTTAACTCCTTTTCACCATTACTCATAAACCTTACATGTACTGGTGAGGTTTTGTGTGCACCTGTGTTTTCCAGTAGGGTTTTGGGGGTGTTGGGTCTGTTGATGATCTCTACCAGGTGAGGCAGCACCATCCCCACGTAGGGCTGCATCTCTGCACCTATAAACACGGTGGAGTCAAACACAGTTACGGTTACTGCCTTTGTGTTAATATCGTTAAGAGTCAGTGGTGACCACCAACAGACGTTAGAACTTGTTACGCTACTTAGCCCGAATCTACCTTTACTTCCTCTGAAAGACGCCAAAAGAACGACTCGTTTTTCTTTACCTAACACCTGGGCTGCTTGATTATGGGGAAAACCCATTTTTATGATCGTTTCAAGCTTAACTCTAAATTGTAATAAAAATGGATGAACTGCACAGCTACTGAAAAACAAAGTATCTCAAATTTTTATTTTCTGTAAATCCAGGACAGACAGAATCACATTTTCTGTATTAGAGCATTTTGCCCTCCGCTAAACCCTGACGAGGACTTTAGTTTCATGGCACCATTTAGCCAACAGTTTTTCTTGAACCAACCCTCACCTGGTTGATGTCCTGCAGGCCAACATTTATAGAAAACAGCCCAAACGGCAGCAGGACATCGAAATCTAAGCTATGCCAGGAATCTACAGCAGGAAGTCAGCTCCGTCTGCATCACAAACTACAACAGCACCGCCTTATGTTGGCTGAAGCTAATCGCATCTGGATCAGAAAAGTGTTTTGGGAACATAGTGTATCACTGGATGTCAATGAGCTGGGTGTTTCATCATGTCCAGATACTGACTACTTCTCATTCATAGAGCAGGGATCCATGTTGAAAACGTACCCATCTGCATAGAGATCTCTCCAATGGCCCAGGTGGCGTTGTTACACACAGAGATAAACTCTGGGTTCAGGTTGAGACCCAGGATGGGCATAAACTCCGCTGAAGGGCAGGAGAAAACCGGTTACAGGGAAACTACGACGTGCTGAAATCTGATAATCTGCTGAGATAACTCACCAACGCAGGGTTTCACGTGAGGGAAACAGGCCTTCGTTAGATCCCCCAGCAGGGCGAAGGAGCTTTGTCTCACTTCAGGCATCGTGTCCTGTCAGAACCAGGCGGTTAACAGTCAGAGTGAAGCGGTTTGGAAGAAACTGAACTGAACGTGAAAACTCTCCACCATGCCTGCATGCACTGAAAAAGGAGGGTCATGATGTTGGAGCGAGCCACCAGCTGTTCCACGTGACCCCCGAGACCCTCAGCCAGTCCGCTCAGCAGATCCAAGGCTACGATCATGAAGTCCTTATCAGGAGCCTCGTACTGGTCAGGATGCTGGTTGTACATCTGCACAGAAACGCATCTCAGACTCACATGTCCAGTCTACAGCTTTGAGTTTGAGTTTGTGTCCTCACCATGGCCTGAGCCAGCGTCTTCTGGACCAGCGTGACACAGCGCTGGTAAACGGGTTCGCAGTACGGCAGGAAGCCACTCTGCAGGGCCGTCGCCACCGACGACAGACACTGCAACAGAGACCAAGAGTTTGATTTTGTGAACCTAAATACAACGAATGACATGCGAGACAGACAGGATTCAGATTTTTAAACTGATAAACATTTTAAATAAAGCGTTAGAGGCTTCTTACCTCCAGTAGAGGGAAAAGATCCTTGTCTTCATCCTTTAGCTCGTTCCACTTTGCAATCAGAGGAGGCATCAACTTCTGGATGTACTCCTACAACAAATACAGAGTCGAGTAAAGCCGTGTTTCTGTTCCGCAGATGCACGGTTGGATAATTCACGTGCATCTCAGGTTTTAAAGTTTTATTTGTTGTCGTGAAAACTAAAGTTTTAAGATGTTAGAAATATGTTTACACTGAGCCGAGCAGAGGGGTCTCTTTAGTACTAAAACTTCACCTACAACCAAACAGAATAGGAGCTAAAGCACTGCATGCTGGGATGTCTATACACACACACACACACACACACACTTACAGGCTGATTGAGATGGTGACCCACTGAATCTGCCAGAGTTCCGATAGCATCGTACAGGATGAGGAGGTTCTTGTGTTGGTACTTCCCGAAAGCGAACACTAGCGTGTCCAGGATGAAGCTCAGGTAGGGTACGAGCTCGGTGCACGCCTCCTCCTCCAGCGTGGCAAACGCACTGAGAAAACCCAAACACACATTGTCATTTATTCTTACATCCAGCTTCAGTCTGGGAATAAAACGACGAGATGTGGATCAGAAAAATGTATGGGAACAAAGTGTATCATTGTTTCTCAATGAGCTGGGTGTCTCATCACGTCCACATGAGGAGGACAGGAGGAGCAGGAAGCTGCTCACCTGCAGGCCGCCTCCTGCACCCTCTTGTTTCCGTCCAAGATCCGTTTCAGGAGCTCGGTCATGAGGGGCTTGAGGTAGGAGTCGGGGGGCTGGGAGACCACCCAGTGTGCGTAGCGACTCAGAGCCCAGCAGGTGATGGAGCGGACCAGGGCCTTCTTATCACACAGAGAGTTGATCAGGTGGGGGACCAGCTCTGGCAGGTAGGGCACCATGCCCTGCATGCAGCCTGAGACGGGAGGAGGAATCCAGTTAGGGAACAGAAACGCTCGGGGAAAAGGTCCTCCTGCAACTGGACACTGATGAGTTCTGGACCTTCAGACTAGATGTGTGCCTTAAGTTCTGATTAGGGCTGAGGCAATAATCAATTAATTGTACTACAGAAAATTTTTCCAGCCTCAATATATCGAGGTTTAGAAATGTGCAACTCTATTATTTTATTACAGAGTGAAAGTCCTTATTTATTTATTTATTTAGAAGTTCTGGACATTCCAGTGTTAAATAAAGTTTTAATTGTTGCATTTTAAAGGGTGTACTGCATTATTGTGATATATTAACATCACATAAGTGGTTATTTTGGTCTAGATAATGTCGACAATAATATCGTTTACCATTAATAATTTGTTGGTCCGGCAAAATGTGTTATCGCTCCGGGCGTAGTTCTGATCAGCAAAACAGACATGATGATTATCTGAAGAGACGTTTCTGATTTGTTCAACAGAAACGTGAATTTTTAAGAGACTGCACAGTTAGTGAAGATGTTTTACATGAACCTAACCGAAAAACACCGGAGCATTAATATATGAGAATCTATAGTTAGTGAAACCTAAACAGGAGTCGTGTTCATGACTCGGAGTCTCTGATCCAACTTGGCTTTCATGACCAGACTAGAGCTTCACCTTCAGCTATGGCCCCCAGCACCAGGATCCCAGACTCTTTGATGACCCAGTCTGGGTGGAACAGCAGCCCTTTGAGGAGCGGCAGGAGGTGAGGCAGCAGCTCGTCCCGGAACACGTTGGCCAGAACATCGAGCGCCGCGGCCGAACATTTCCCTGCATCAAAAACGAAGCGTTAACGATCACTCAAAATTAATAATCAGCTTTTAAAAAGCTTTCTGAATAATATCCGTCATCAAGGCTTCTCGTCACTTACTCAGATTCCAGTCACACAGTGTGTCGTCATCATCATCTTCATCGTCGTCCCCATCCTCCTCTTCCTCCCCTCCTTCGTGCCGCAGGGTGACGGTGCGTGACTTGTGGAAACGAGGCTTGATGTCCTGCTCGCTGTCTGGAACCATCTCATCCTCCTCCACGTCGCCCTGGAGATGAAGAAGAGACTTCAGTGGCATCAGAACCACTTAGAAACATCTCAAAAGTTTGTTTTCTTCACCTTCAGTAAAATGATGTCGATCTCTGAATACTTCATGCCGTTGACTAAAATTGGGACCAGCCTATAGAAGCAGGGAGAAATGATGACATCATCAAACATAACAAATCAGGCGTTGAAGGGTTTTGAGAGACTGATGAAGCTCTAAGGGACTCACTGCACCAGATGTCCGGACAGAACCTCCTTACAGATGGGTTGTTCTGCTATGGTCAGCCAGAACTCGCAGGCCTCCAGAGCCACGTTGTCATCGGGGTCCTGAGTCCGCTGCAGCATGTACTGAGACCCAAACAAGACCAGAAAATAAAAACCTGATAAATCCGCTCAAGTGCAACAGCCCATTACTGGGTCTCAGTAGATCCGGATCAGAAAGTTAGGAACTTCAGGTATCATGAGGAAAATCAATGAGCTGGGTTTCTCATCACATCCAGAAGCTTCTGCTCTAAACCAAAGTGTGTCTGTGGAACGGTGCTCACCTGGATGAGGCTGTGCATGTGGGGGATGAGACGATCGATGCGGACCTCCAGTAACATCACCAGACCTCGGCAAACGTTCTTCCGGACCTCGGTGTCTTCATCTGCTGCCAGAACAAACAGGCTCTAAAGAGAAGGAGAACAACATTATTTATGTGTGGCTCAAACATGGCCGACTTCACAGGATAACGACCCGTAATACAATAAAACATGTCCTGCTTAACTATACGTTTTCTGATAGCTGAAGCAGCTCAACGGTCTACAGATTTAAGAGGACACCTTTGGTTTTTGAGTCTGGATTAAAAATGTCCAAAAGCAAAATGGCGTAATGGTGGTGCCAAGTCAGTTACTCTCATAACCTGTCAGTAACATCTGACCTGACTCCTGTCATAAGCAGGAAACTGGTTCTTCTGTCAGAAACGGAGTGTGTGCACACACAGCTCACCTCTATGAACGTGTCGATGTTCTCCATCAGAGCCTGGGCTCTGCCAATGATGAACTGGTTCACACAGGCTATAGCATGAGACCTACAGGAGGATCATCACGTTAAACCATCAAGTTTCAGTTTTTTCACCACAGAAAGTTCTACTGACACAGCAAAACACACCCGCAGGGTCCACATTTAAAGTGTGATTAAAAATAGACCTAAATAATTATTAAGCTCTATAAACAACCTCAGAAAAAAGATCCAAACAGGATTGACAAGCTAACAGCTAGTCACTGCAGGCTGGGACCAGAGTGGATTGCAGCCATCTTTGATTCCACAGAACTCTATTCAGAAACCTGCAGTCAATAATATTGTAATGAAGAGATTTTAATATAAACTAAACTCAGCTGCTAAAAATCCAGCAGGATTATTAATATTTCTGCTAGAATTAATTTGTTATGCAATAATTAAAACCGGGACAATTTACAAAGGAGTGCTCGTCAGGTGGCAGCGACTCATTTTAGTCTCGATCCTGTCTGAACTAGCCAAGGGACATGGAAATAAATATTCCTTCCACCCCTCCTATTAAACACTAAGTAGAGAGTAAAAGAAGACGTGACCCTTAAATTCAAACGTTTCAGTCTCATTTGATACACGACACACTAGTGAACTGAGTCGAGGTTCAGAATTCCAAAATGAGGAGAAAGCCAAACTTCGGGCTGTTTCTGCCGTTTGCTGTAATGTAAACATTTCTGTGTAAAAACAACAATGAATGTAATTCTGCAGCCATAGCTCTGTGGACATATGACTGAAGTTTATATCTTTGGTACGTTCTTGCTGAGTCTGATTTCTAATTCCATTTCTGGTTCTTTTTTAAAACACAGAAAAGGTTTCTTTTTACCTTGCTTGCTGTCAGCTTCGTTCGCGGCTGCATTAGCTCTGAAGAAGTTTGCAGCCGCAAACAAAACTGTCAACAAGCAAGGTAAAAAGAAACCTTTTCTGTGTTTTAAAAAAAAAACCAAAAATGGAATGACCGAAGTTTAGATGTGAAAACTGCTGAAAGTTACAAAAAGCCATTTTTAAAGAGGGCCCCCTGGACCAGCTGTTCTATCGATAGTTCAGTCAGAACCAAAAACCATTTCTCCAAACTGAGGTTGTTCCAAGAGCAGGTAAGAGATGACTTCATCTTTTTTCTCTCTCTTAAAAACGTTTCATCAGATTTTTTCATGACATCTTTAAATGCGACACCTGCGTTCTGAGTTCTGGCTAAAGTCCACGCAGCTGTTCCCGTGGGTCCATCAGAGCATCTGGATCAGACAGTATGAATACCACAACACCTTCACTATCAGTCAGAGGTTAGTGTGCATCACACCCAGACGCTAGCATCTCACACCCCACCCGCATCACTTCCTGTTCTCTCCTGTACCTAATCTTTGGACTGCAATGCTTGAAGAACTGAAGGAATTTAGGAATCATAAAGTTGAGGGGTCTGTTCAGAGCGTCGCTGTCCAGCAGCTCCGATGAGTCCTCGCAGATCTTCTGCAGCGCGCCAAATGAGCCCTGAGACACGGACATACACACAGAGAAGCTGTCAAATCAAAAAAAGCAAACATACACGGACACAGAGGAGAGAACGAAACCGCATCAGAAGATCAAACATGTTGACTACACACAGCAACATTTCTGTTATTTTACACCTAAAACAGTAAACATGCCAGCTTAGAGAACTTCTAACCCAGACAAATCAATCCGATCCATTATCAACACCTCCTTTGTTTTCAAATTACACAAAATGTGTTTGGGAGCTAGAATAAAATAAAGCAAAGGTGAGGTAGGTGCTGACCTCACAGGTGTTGTAATCCTCTGAGTTGAGTAAGTTGCAGAGCTGAGGCAGCAGCTCGGGCCAGGTTTTCAGTCCTCCTTTGGAGGTTATGGTAGTGATGAGGATCCCTGGAGCAGAACAAAAGGAAGGGATGAAAACGGCTTCCTGATCAAAGTTCCTGTACCCACAGCTCTGGATCAGACGGTATGAATACAGTTCCCCCAGACACTCAGGTGGTTAGATAAAGGTGGAGACTAGGGATGGGTACCGAATTCGGTACTTTTTAAGGTACCGACCGAGCACCGATTAACTTCATTTGAAACGGTGCCTCGTTTCGGTACCCGTCCTTCACAACGACAACTTGCCTAGACAGCTGCACATGCGCAAGAGCGTTATGTCATTGGTCGCTGCGAGCGAGTTGTAAACAGAACAATGTTAGCTTGATTTGTTAGCTTCCGTTTCACTAATGGTGCGTTCGCTTTCTCCTCGGAACTCAGAAATTCCGACTAAGTTTGGCTTCACTTTACTAAATGCGACGGGTGATTGGGTGAAGATGAAACCAGTGACAACGATTCAAGTGTGAGGCATCATCGTTTAAATCTGCTCCAGCAGTTAAATAAACTGTTTAAGATAATGTTAGCTTCCTATGCCACCATTATCATCTAATGGTGCGTTCGCTTTCTCCTCGGAAATTCTAACTTCCCAGTAGGAAAAATCAATTGAAAAAGGACGGTAAAAGGAATGAAGATACGCAGTAAATTTAGTTCACAGTAAAGATGTTTGCTTCAGTTTAATTATCAGCTTATAAAACTACAAGGACCATGTTAAAATACAAACAGTTGTATGTTATTTATCATGATATTTATCAAATATGGTTATATATTAAGAAAAATATATATTTAATTATAAAAGAGAATTAAAAATATATTAAACACTCAAAAGTATCGAAAATTGGTACCGTTAAGTACCGGTATCGATTCGTAGGTACCGGGAATTAGTACCGGATCGATTCAAATGTCAAAGGTACCCATCCCTAGTGGAGACGTCTTCAGATGGAGGTTAATCCTCTAAACTCACCAATGGTGGCGCGGATGAGTGGAGAGGGATCCCCGATGTTGCTGAGGCATTCCTGTTTGATGAAGTCCGACACAGTCGGGGGGAAGTTCTGATAGTGGGCCTTAACATTGTTCTTCAGTATCAAACCACTTAAGGAACGAGTCGGCTCATCTGAGGTGAAGAAAAAACATCAACGTGTGTCAGGAATGGGACCTATTTTCTACCTCATGTACCCACAGACAGCACTGTGCTGTCAGACACGAGGAGGCGTTTCATCACCAAGTACATACTACATCAACATCAATCACTTTGATGGTTTTAGGGCTTTCTGCTAAAGGATCACTTCTCCCATTAATGACACTGAAATGTTAAGCTATTGCTCTGGAAAGCCGGCTGATCTGACCGACAACAGCAGGACAACTCACCTTCAGTCTTGAGTCGTGTGAGGACGAAGATCAGATAGTTGTTGAAGTCAGGGTACTGATTGAGTTGTTCAAGTTTCTAGTCAAGCAGTTAAGGAACATTTAGTTTCATTTCTCAAAGTGGACAGCAAAAAAATAAAATAAAAACAAAAGTTTGAGTTGTGCAATTAATCATAACTGGATTAAAAAGATCACGGGATTAAATACAGCTCAGAGATAAAAATTACTCAGTCAAAATCCACCTGGCTGACTGCTTGAAGCTAATGAATATGGCAGAATGAGGGCAAAACACAAGCGGAGTAGGTTTGATTGGCTGGTGTCCACATGTCTCCTAAACTAATTTCTGAATGTTACAAAGATATACGTTTGCTACATTTATGACATAAATATACCTGATAAATGTTTAGGTTATATTTGCGTCATTTTGGTCGCTTAATTTATACCCCGGTTACCACTACTCAACAGTGCCCCCTGGTGACAAACATCAGCACCTGAAGCATCTTTAAAATGTGTGCTCCTGGCATTTCTCAACTCTTGTCCTCACTCGTCAACACCTGTTGGGCTCAAGCGGGGTTGTGGGGAGCTGATCTATAGCTCTCATAGCCAACAGACACGAATTCGCCATTAGGTGTCAGCGGCTGACCAAAAGGACCGCTTTCCAGGCCATTTTCATAAACCAACTAAGTACATGAAAATAAGCAGCATTCACATCACTTTAAAAGTTGTGGTTCCTAAATTACCAACAAAGAAAAATGCAACAGAACAGAAATAAAACTTTTACGGTTAATGTTTAGGCACGCTTTTTGGTGCTGATCAGCGACATCATACACCGCTGAAACGGTCGCAATATGCTGACATGTTAGTAAAGTCCTGAAATTGTATGGAAACACAGACTGAGATGACAGAGTTATTGTATCTCTCTGTCAATTTTCCCTCTCCCAGAGCTCCCAAGGTAAAAAAAAAAACAACTACTGGGCTTGAGGTGGGGGACACCCTGGACGGACCACCAGTGTGTCACAGCGACATACAACCTTTCACATCCACTCACACCCAGGAACAGTTAACCCATACATGTTTTTGGTCTGTGTGAGGAAACCGGAGAACCTGGAGAAAACCTGTGCATGCATGGAAAGAACAGAAAAACCACAGCTGGGATTTGAACCTGCAACCTTCTCTCTGTGCTGCCATTTAGCCAATTTGATTGGTCATAGACATAAATAGCAATTTCAATTGACCAAAACGTTTCCTGTTCCTAACCATTTGTGTCTAGAGCTGCAGCAACACCAGCTAAATGCTGATTATCTCATACTTCACAGGCATTGAGTTGTACTGATGCATAGCCTGAAATGACTAGAAGGATACTTGTTGAACAGCTCTCTGTGTGACCGTGTCAGGTGACTGAGAGTCTTTGAGCAGCTGGAGGACCTGCTGAAGTCCCTGCTCGTCCGGCTGCCACTCCATCCTGTAAAACAGAAAATAATCCACATTTACTTGTTTCTGGGTTACATTTACATCCTTTAGATTACACAGATTAGACATGAAGGGACCGGATCAGACAGTATGAATACAAACACCATCAGAGACAGTCAGGTGGTTTTAATGCATCATCTCCAGTCCACACATGTATATTTGGAGAAGAAACATGATCTATGTACACAATAACAACAGCACGAGGGTAAACTCGGTTGTTTTAAGCATCCGATATATGTACAACTCCTGACCTGAAACAGTTAATAAATCAGTGACATAACTTCGTGGTTAGCTAATGATTGACTTTAACAGGAAACTGATGGGTTTCGGTAGGAAACACGCAGAAGCTGAAATAAGTAAGAAATTAAAATAAACCTCAAAAACATCAACACCAACATTTATAGCGGCGACAGAAAAAACAAAGAGTGGAAGAAACGAGCATCTGAAATCGCCATGACCTGGCTTAGCTTAATCCTGCCCCCACCCCCACGTCGCCACCCGGGCCTGTTACGGAAACATTATCTCCGTACTTCTTGTTCCGAAACCGAATTCAACACAGAAACATTTATTGGTGCGTGGGCCTGACGTGCGCGAGTTATCCAAAGAGGGTCGTGAGAAAAGCAGTGCTATTAAAACATAAAAGTTAACCTGATTTAACTCAATAACCAAATATACATGAGTAAATCATAAAGTACAACATTTAAAACTAATGAAACAACTGTAATATCCTCGGTTTGTGACGCTTTTCACAACTTCACGCGGTTCTAGCAACCGAAGTTCGCCCTCGGGCCTAGACCACCGGTTAGCTCCCGGCTGGGTGATCACAACGTGCCCGTTCTAAATAACAGTAAAATGTCGCCTACTGGAATCAATACACTGTGATATCTAAAAAATACTCAGGCTAAGTTACAACATAATGATTCTGTTATAAGCAGTCACGAGTTAGGAAAAACACAAGAGCCTGTAACGCCACAAAGTCGATGAACACGTTTTCCAGGCAGCCGTTAGCTAACACACCAAGCCGCCATAAACTGGGAGCTAATGCTACTAAATTCTACCACAGCGAATGTTGATTGCTAACGCTTTAGCAAAATTTCACCTAATAAAACGCTACGACAAATGTGATTAACCGTTTTATCAAAAATAAGTTGCTGATATTTTACATACAATCTTGATTTGAAAGTTGAACAATCAGTTCCGAGTACCTCTTCTTCGGCTTCGTTGCAGTTCTTGTTCAAATGAGCACGCCGACTGAAATTGACCCACCACGGTTTCCGTTCTGAGACGTTTAGGTAAACTCGCGAGATTCCGACTGGAAACGTTTTCAATGGAACGCCACGTTTGGATAGATTTCACAAATATTTAGTTTTATTGAGAAGCCCCCTAGAAACAATGTAGTAAAACCGAATAATCTTAAAATAACCAACCAGTTCTATCCACTGGTGGCAATATAAATAACAACTGGTACCTAAAGTTGCAAGCTAATAAACAATGTAAAAGCATTAAATCACACCTAGTTTCTTAAAAGTTTGTTTTTATAGTCATGTTTTAATTCTTTAACATGGTCTTGATCAGTTCCGTGTGTCAAAGCTTCCCCTGAACTTGGTTGCCTTTGCATTCATTTTCAACTGGATGCCATCTTTTTTCCGCAGTGTGCTTTAAAATAGGAACATAGCAAAGTGGAGGATCTAAGAAAACCTGTCAGTCTGGACAAAACAAATCTGTTTGCAGAGGAATATCTGAAAGCTACATATTTCAGACACAACTGATACAGAGATGTCATCTAGTGTTATATTTTTTTAAACAGTAAGTAGCTCTTTGCAATCAGAATCAGAATCAGATTAGGTTTATTGTCATTGTCAGTGAACAAACAATTCACAAACTAGGAACTTACTTCGGTACTAACGTGCTACATATAACATGAATAATATAATTAAAAATAGAATATAGTAGAATAAAATATAATAAACTAGCATAAAACTTTGCTATAAAAAAGGCAGGTAATGGTAATAATAAAAAAGGCAGGTAATGGTAATACAAACACCCCATCCTGGGAGTATCCTGGTGCTAAAATGCTATTTTGAATCAGAGAAAATAAATATATTTAATTGTAGAAACAAATATTTAAAAAATTAGATGACCTGCACAGCATACTTGGCAATAACTTTAAAAAGTTCATTTTATTTTTCAAGCTTATCGAAAATAAAATATACAGTTTCCCACCAATATGAGTCAGGACAAAACAGGTTTTAAAATAAATATATTTTTTAAATGTACACTATATTCATTTTAATGATCGATTTGTGTAAAGTCCAAGCTAACCATGTAAAGGTGCAGGTTCTAAATAAGAAACATATTTTTAACTATTTCACTTTTTTCGAGTAAGAACTCGATTTGTGACAACTCCATCAGACACATTAAAAAGAACGCGCTTTTAATTTATGGAGTCCAACAAGAATCTAAAGTTCTAAACTATATTGTAATAGGTTTTAGTTACACGTATATGTAATAACATTCACGATATAAACTGTAATTGTAATTTTACACTTTTAAGAAAAGTTGAATCTCTAAAAATCTCTATTTTAAAACTCTGCCTTTGATTTTAAGGTTCTAAAAATCAATTATTTAAATAAGTGAGACATAAGAGTCAGTAGATCAGATGTGTCTTTATTACATGAAGACCAGAAAGTGAAGTAAGAATAAACATTTTCTTTTTAAAAATTCAAAAACATACATCTGACGGTGTTGACCAAAAACTGATGGTGTTGACAAAAATGTGTGTGAACTACTATTTAACAAACAAAAATGATTTTACTTTGAGTTAATAAACTAATGGAATATTTAATATTTTGACAATGTTACAAATATATTATGAACTGAATGCAACATCTCTACAATTATCAAAATCAGAACGATGGAAGACATGGGTCCTTCTGTTCTTGCTTTCTTCTCTCTCTTTTTGTCTTTCTCTCCTTCACTTCCACCTCTCCTGTGTGTTTGGGTGTATATGGTAAGTCAGAAACCATGTGGGGTGTGTATGGGTGAGTGTGTATGTTTGGGTTTATGCGTATGTGTGTATATGTGTGTGTTAGTACAGTGAACTATTGTGATGTTAAAATAGAACTTGTCAGCAACGGACGGCGAGCATGCTCACGATCTATGAAGTCAATCACATCAGGGACTATGTTGTAGATCTCTCGTGTTCTTGATTGGACTGGTGATGCCTTTCCCATTGGTTTCACAATTATGTCTTTAACTGGGCAGAAACAGACATCGTTCCTGCCATGCTTGGGTTTAACTTTTGCTGTTGGACCATGGCGATGCAGAAACTCCACTTCCACATCTTGATGCTCAAGATCGACAGCAATGGTCTTGGCTAGCCACCAGTGGTCATCACATACTACTGCTAGCCAGTCTCCTTCATGAAGGCCGCTAACACTTGTTACTTTCATAGTACCTTCAGAAGCTCCTCATCCCACTCCTCCTCTATCCCTTCATTGTTCTTTTCCCATCTCCTCTATCAATACGGCCAAAGGTCTTTTCTTTGCCCTTCTCTGGTGACTTTGCAGTTTCTCTGGGTAACCGTGGAAAAAGAATGTTGTGGGCAAACCAACATCTGGCTGCAAAAGCAGGATAGTTGTCTGTGCTGGGTCCTGTTCTCTTGTGCGATGACCTGGTGTATTTGTCTAGTCAGTGGAACTTGTTTGAGAGGCTGGATTAAAAGTGCATCATATATTTGCATATCTTCTTCTGTAATGTAGTGCAACTGAATGCCCCTCAGACTGTTTGAAACCTTTTCAAGGAATGTCTTTCCATGGGGTCAAGTCATTTCCTCTAAGCACCAGGTTGTCAGCAGTTCTTTTCACGGTTCCACCAATGCCATCTCGGCACCCTTACCATGGGAAGTGGGGAAGAAGTTCCATGTTGCTCTTTCAAATCCAAGTGTAGGTGGGATACCAGACAGAAAAAGAAATTCTTCCTGTCCTTATACTATTTACTTGGATTATCTGACCAAAAGTGTACAGTGGTAACGTGAGGATATTTCATCTTGATAGTTTTCAGAACTGGATCCATGTGTGTCCAGATTGCTGAAGCATCCTGTCTTTTTGACTCTGAAACTGTGCAAAACCCAGCCTTTTACCCTTTGATGTAAACATTCCAGTATGCAGGGGAATTGAGGACGATTTTGTCCAAACACACACTTTTGTTCTTTTAACTTTGATATCCAGAAATTTAGGAAGTTGCTGAACAGCAAGGATGAAACTCAGACCCATGGGAAGTAATTTAGTAAAAACGAACTTAATTATAATAAGCCACTGATTTAAGGCAGCAGGATCAGACTCCTCCTGATACGTTTATTCAAACACTTTTTGTACTTCTGTTCCAAAGGTTCTATATTCAAGTGTTCTCTGTGGCTGGTTTACGTGGTGAAAGCTTCTCATTTTCTTTACAAATACGTTAATTGCAAATGAATATCTGACAATGGAACCTTAAAAACAATATTCAGACACAGTGGGTTCAAAATATTTGAAATTCAGTCACAGATACGCAGGAAATGCTTGTCCTTTTGTTCACTTGTCCTAAAGCTTAATATTTAACACTTGGACTATGAAAAATGCAAACGGGGACAGTCTCGTCTGTTTTATGCGTATACTGACCTAGGTCTAATCCCAAAAACCTTTTAGAAACTAAACATATAAAAACATTTCTACACAAGGCCATCATGTACAAATAAACATGTACATATAAACATAAAAATCAAATTCCTGTGATTATGTGCAACCACCTCATCAGTTCTGCCGTATTTCCAAAGGATTTGGCATAAAATGCTGCTCATATCCTGAAGAAAACTGCCCATCGTCCGACGACTCTTCACTCCTCTCCTCGTCCGAGTCGATCATTTTGCTGTACTCCTCTCTTCCATACCTGGGGTCCATCCTGTCTTTGTCTTCCACGATCGTCTCTCCCCTTTGAACATCTGTGGAGCTCATCTGTAAACAGTCGTTTTCCAGCACTGACCGCGTTAATCTGTCGGGGCCTAAAGCTTTGGACTTCACTTCCACGATCTCCAGAAGAGATATCTTGGGACTGGGCTCATAGAGGGGAATGCAGATCCAATTCAAGGGCTCACTGATCTAGAGAGCGATAATTTAAAAAAGTACATTTATTGAGTTTAGATTAGAAATGATCTAACAAAAGGATTTTGAAGATTCTCACCTGATGCCTCATGTGTTTAAAGATGTGGCTGTTGCTAGGATCGGGCACTTTTTCATACAGACACTGAGGCAGAACAGGACACACTTTTCTCGGTCCTCTGGTCACACTGCAGCAGACACAAACAAGACAGAGACCATTAGTCGAAGAGGCCATTTCAAAATAAAACAAGCAATTATCAAATATGGCTGATTCAATAATCCAGCCTTGTTCTATGAGAGAGAAATTCTGTTTAGTTTTTGTTTTCCCCATTTACAATCTTCAGCTGCTCACCTGTAGCTGATTTTTTAACTTGTACAGGATGAAGAGAACTCTGGCTTCCATCTCACCCACAAACTACGTTTCGAATTATTTTATTTGTTTTCGAGTCTTTTATCAGTTCTGCCCCTCCTACTTCTGATCTCCTGCAGCCACCTCAGTCTCTGAGATGTACAATGACCTTTGACCCAGTGTGAGACACTGATTATGGCCTCATCTTAAATAGTTTTACACCTTTGTGCTCATATATTTCTTTCATCAGTTTGTTTTCATCTTGGTTCTTATGAACGGCACTTTGGTCAGCCTTTGTTTTTACCAAATACATCAAACCACTCAGAGACAAGTTTAGGTTGATTTTCTTACCAAAGTGCAACAAAAATAATTGTGACCAACAGAAACCCAACGGGCACCAGGGTGTGGATCACATGACCTGAAGAAAAAACGCATTAAACAGATTCTATCAGCATTTAAAACCATTATTATAACTGAACACATTCCATTCATGATGATGTCATACCCAAGTCTTCCACATGCTTGGTTTTTAAAGTCGTGGTGACGTTTGGGCCGGGCCCAGCAGCAGTCACAGCTCGAATCCAAACCTTGTACTTCCTGCCTGGACTAAGACCGGGAAGCTTGTAGGTCATTGTTCCATGATCTGGAGTCACGCTCACGTTGTACACTAGAGGAGAAATGTCGTCTGGTGAGATGAACACATTTACTTCTGCAGCCATTTGAGAAAAACACAGGTTTGCTGCGTTTGTCCTTTTTGGTTAATTATACCTATAGATTATATTAAATCCGCCAAATTGATTTCTTGATTTCTTTTTCTGATACAGATTACATAAAGTGACTGTGGCTGTGGTTGACAAAGTAAATGCAGTGTCTCAGAAAATTACAAAAGGTCAATAGGAATATTTTAAACACACATTTCGGGACTCTGAAGGGTTTGATTCCATGCATCAATAAGTGGTCGGGTCTCGTTTTGCATGAATTACTGCATCAGTGCAGCATGGAGGCCACCAGCCTGGGTTAGGGTCAGCATAACCCATCAGCCTGTGCTTCTGCTGAGGTGTGATGGAAGCCCAGGTGCTTTTAATAGCAGCCTCTAGGTCATCTCCATGGTTTGGTCTGGTGTCTCATCCTCCTCCATAGATTCCCCATCGGCAGTTCAGGTCAGACCAGTTGGCAGCCAATCCAGCCCAGTGACACCAGAATCATGGATCCAGCTTCTGGTACCTTTGGTGGTGTGGGCAGGTGCCAAGTCCTGCTGGACAATGAAACCAGAATCTCCATAAAGCCTGTCAGGGGAAGGAAGCACGAAGAGCTCTAAAATGTCCTGTTGGATGTCTGCGTTGACTCTGGACTTCAGAAGACGGCGAGGACCACCAGCAGCAGACGACATTATCACGGACCGTGGAAACTTCACACGGACTTCCAGCAACAAGGATCCCGTTCCTCTCCACTCCCCCTCTATACTCAGGGTGGGACTTTGGTTTGCAACAGACCTGCACACTTTACTTTGACCTAAAAAGAGGACTTTAGACCACCAACCAGCTGTTGTTCTCAGCACAGGTAGAAGATGTTTCTGACGTGTCTGGTTCAGGAGTAAACCGACACCAGGAATGAGACACCTGTAGCCCGTGTGTAGGACTAGTCTGTGCGTACAGGCTCTTGGTGCTCAGACTTCAGCACCCGTCCACTCCTGGAGACGCTCCTCCACATTCCTGAATGGCTTTATCTTCACCATCCTCTCAGGGCTGCGGTTCTCCCTGCTGGTGCACATTCTCCTTCCACTCAACTTTCTATGAACACGCTCGGATGCAACCCTCCCTAACAAGCAACTTCTTCAGCAAGGAGCTTCCGAGGGTTCCTCTCAGGGTGGACACTTCTGGACACGTGTCCAGTCACTCATCTTCTCCATCGGCCCAGGCAGACCAGGAGGCTCAGGAAACGTTTGCAGGTGTTTCAGGTGGGTTTCCAATATTCAACATATTTCACAATATTTAAATTTTCTGAGACACAGATTTTGGTTTTTCCTGTTCTGTAAGCCATAAACACAGAAATAAATGAAGCAAAGGCTTGAAATATTGAACTCAGCGTGTAATAAATCTATTTATGAGTTTTTTCCCTTGAAATGAGAAAAAATATTGAACTTTTTCCACAATATGCATTTTTTAGATGCATCTGTAACTTCTGTACCTGTTTGAGTTCCTGCGTGTTCTACCACTATTTGGTAGTGCAAGATCTTCCCGTTCCGCTTGGAGCAGGAAACAGGCTCCCAGAACAGAGTCACATCAGTGGCAGCAATAACAGAAACGTTAAACGACGGCACCGCAGAGGGAACTGATGGGAAACCAGAGAAGAGCAGACATGAAAATGGACTTATACCAGCTGAAAGGGCTTTCGTGGATCTCACTGACCTCCTTGAACAGAATACGCGACGGCTGTTGAAATCAGACGGATCTGGTTTGAATCCGACACGACAAACAACGACACCTGGTATGACGTGTACTTTTTAAACACCCCTACAGGTGGAGACACAAGCAATAGTAAAACAACAAGTCTGAAACCGCCAAACACCTTTTATCAGTATTTAAACTAAGAGGTGACTTATTTGTCTAACAAAGCATCGTCTCATCTAGAAACAACGCAGACCTTTAAAAGAAACGGTCCTCCGGCTCTTGTCCACTTTGATCCAGTCCAAGCCTCGGCCAGGCCAACACTCCCTGTATTGCACCACATAATGTTTCACATTGTCGGGGAAGTGGGGGGGCAGCGTCCACGACACAGTGAGGTTCTCTTCAGTCATCTGAAGGTCAATAATCTGATCATCTGTGTGTTCACCTTGGAGGAAGACAAAACGTTTTAGTGCCATTAAAAGAGTTTTATTACAAATGGCCAAAGAAAAGTCTTCACCAACAACAAACTGCTCTTTCTCCGTTTTTAACTCATTCACTGCCAACGACGACTGAACTCGGAACGAGCCCCCGCACCGTGAGAACAAACATCCCATCTCTAAAGCCGAGCTTCATCTGCGTACGTCACACGTCACGTGATCAGGAAGCAGAAAATCCATGTGTTAGGAGATCGTTTTGGGCCGCTGCTGTAAAAAAGAAAAAGTGAGGTGCGAACCGGAAAAGCTTCTGTTGATCACGATTCAACAACGGATAACGCTCGAAACGCGTGGATTCTTCCTGATGTAAGAGGTGAGTCTCCGCTTTGTTTTGGTTGTTTTGGCGTCGACATCATCCCAGCGTGCAACGTTCTGTGACTCTTAAAAAAACAGTAAAAACGCTGGCTGTGAAGGGCTTTTCTGATCAGGAAACGGCTGGCAGTGAATGACTTCACGGAAACGTTCTTCTCTGAAGAGTTGTTTTGTTTACTGCTGTGCTGCTTTAACTCCTGTTAGATCATCTTTTTCTTATATGAATGCATGACAGAGCGTGTTGTGTCTGATGTCTGAATGACTTGTACACATTGATCAGGTCTTTAGTCTGATGTCAATCATGTCAGCTGTTGAAACTTTACAACCAGTTTTCTGCTACTTTTATCCAGAAGATGAATTGTGATCCGGGTCTTTGACCCAAAGATTTCCATACTTGTATGGATTCTGAAAGCTTGCTACCTGGTTCTGGTACGACCAGATGAGAAGCGTTTCCGGTACCAATGGAGTTGTAGGCTGATACATAAACGGATGACACGCGCTTCAGAGACGAGGTTAGGTACCACTTCATCTCATCATACGCCCAGACGCTGCTTGGGTCCACCGTGGACACGTTGATGTGCTTCACAGTGCCGTTACTGTAGGAAACTGTCACTTGGTATCCCAGGATGAATCCTCGCGCCTCAGAAATAGAAAGATTCTAGATGAGGAAGATTTAGAGCGGCATGAGTCTGTGTTAGCAGGAAACATTCTTTAGTTTTGGTTTTTACATTTACCTTCCAGGTCAGAAAACAATCAAAGCTTGAGAAGGGAGTGACACAGTCCATCCATACGTCCACCTCTCCAACTGGAGCTGAAAACAAGACAAGTGGACAGAAAAATGGCTTCAGAAGTGAACTGAGAGCAACACAATCCATGCTGAAGGAAAGGCCGCTATTCCTGCCACTATAGTACCAGGAAACTCAAATGTGGGTCCAATCAATGTCTAAAGAAATGGTTAACTAAAAAAAGCAGTAATTTCTTGTATAAAATAATAAAACAGCTGTATAAGCTCTGCGGTCAGAACTCATTTATAATCATATGAATATGGATCTAAATCCTATAAAGCCTCACCTGCTTCTGCACTTCTTATTCTGTAGATTTCGCTCCAGTCACTCACCAGACTGGAGTCACAGGCACAACGGACCTGAAACTCATATTCTGAGCCAGGCCGGGGATCTGGGACTTCAAAGCTGTTATGTAACCCATCTTCATACTGAGCCTAAGAACACGACACGCGTTTACATTCATTCACTCATTTAATACTGCAGCACTTTTCCCTTTATTGTAAACAGGTGACACGTACAGTGTGAGAGATGTAAAAACACACGAAAGGAAACACTGAAACAGACCTGAGGCCAGCCTTGGTCATCCTCAGCACGATACCTGACTTCACACGTCCCTTGGCTCGGCTGCAGCACACAGGCAACACTCCAGGTAACCTCTAATGAACCCTGATGGTTGGATAAAAACAAAGGAGGGGGCGGTTTCTCTGGAGGGGCAGAAAAACAGAGACAACAATCAGACACCTACAAGTTATACATCCAAAATATTACGCAGGCCAAAGTTAATACTTTACAGATGAAGTGGCAACATTTTATTACAGTTGTCAGCCATTATGGTTCTGAGTTGTCTTTAATGCACCTGAAACTACTTTAGTTTAGTGTTCCCATAAAGAAATGCACAAAAGGGACTTTATGGAGTTTTGAATTTTTATGCTCGTGATTGCCCCCTCAGGCCAAAACCGTAACAGCAGCTTCAATAGTAGGCTCGTGCACGAGGCGCGCATGCTGTACGTGCACACTCCTTAACGAAAATAACAGCTGAGACAGTCCTGTGTGTGTGTGTGTGTGTGTGTGTGTGTGTGTGTGTGTGTGTGTGCGTGTGCGTGTGCGTGTGTGTGTGTGGCCCGGAGGACAGAGGACAGGAGAACGTGCAGCTAACTAATTAAATAATTTGGTTCTGTACCTTTCTCTTCAGCACAGCCGACAAAGGTTTATGACGGGTCAGTCCTCCTGCATGCTCAGATCATTCCCTTCCCTTGCTTGAAAAATTGTTCCAAAATGAAAGTTGAACCCACATCTTTTTTATCTGTGAATTCAATGCCGTTAGGCGAGTCTCAAATAAAAATTTGGGCATCTTACTGTAAAAAAATATACCATTAATGTAATAAATAAATTCTAAATAAATTATGTTCACATCCAGAATCGAACCCGGATCTTCTGCATGAGAGTCTGACATTTTACTAAGTGAGCTACAGTGCCAATAATGTCTTATGTATCTGTAACTTTTAGATTCTTGATGACAGCTGAAACAACGTTCAAAGAACGGTTCAAAGCAAAAATGGCTATTTTGTTGCTAATTTGCAGGAAATATCTAGAAGAAAGTAGCTAAGGGTCCTCAGAAATGTAGCTAGGTTCATCACTAGTCGCTGAGTTGGCACTGCCTCTCTCTCTGCTGCTAAAGCTACTGATAGCAAATGCTACGGGCTATGCCTGAGCGTGAACGTGCATGAAGCAGCCTGCTCGACCCGAGCAGCTCTCTTTTTCTGTGATTTTACAGAAAAACAGGCAATCACAGTAAAAATGCCAGGGCTCATTCTACAGGACCAGGGCATTGCAGGAGAATGTATGAAGAAGAAATTTATTATTTCTATACATGTTTTGGGTGTCAAACTTCCATAATGCCCCTTTAAACTTGCACTGCCCCATGACGCAAGCTCCCACTAGCTTAACCAGCTAATGTGCTCATCTAAAAATAGCCCCCTTTCACAACATACTGAATGTGTCCGGTTCCGCTTACGCCAACATCATACACAAAATGCTGAACACCAACTAGAAATTCACGAAAATTTTATAGAAATAAAAGAATCTTGTTTATTGGGTCTTTGGTACTTTAAGACCTTTGGAAACTGTATTTAAGAATTATTTGTAATTTTTAAGGATTTTTAAGGCCTTAAATTTGGAAAAGTAAATTTAAGACTTTTTAAGGACCCGTGGATACCCTGTAAAGCCTTTAAATAAAAAAGCTACTATCTCATCACATTTTAGCCAAATCTTTGTAAATGTGACTAGAGCTATTTTGGTGTTTTCATTAGATATTTTATTATTGAACACTCATACATGACTGAAGATCTTTTGCTTTTTGGTGATAATGAATAAATGTTCTGGGCTGACTCACTGATAGCCTCTGTGTCGATGAGAGCATCCTGAGATTTGGCAGAACCGTTCTGGTTTTGAGCCTGGACCCAAACACGAAGTTCTCCATGGCTACGGAAGTTTTCACGATGGATTAACCCATCGTAGCTCCTCCCCCCTTTAATGTTATCATCACTGGAAAAAAGGCACAAGGCTAAATAAGATTAGAAGAAACTTAAAGCAAGATCTCGGTTAAGAAATGGGCTTTACTCTGTGTTTGTTGGCTCCCAGTGAAGGCTGTAGTTAGTGGAGTGGTCAGATTCTGGATCTGGAGTCCAAACACAACGTATAACAGAACAGCTGTGTGAACTACAAGGTCTGTAGCACTCGGGTTCAGACGGAGGAGCAGGGGGACCTAAAAGACCAAGAGAAGCAGCACATTTTTCATATTTTCCCAAAATTTTACCAAAAGTGGAATTATTGCAGACAGAAGGAGTCACAAAAACAGAATATTTCTGAAGCTCTATTGTGAAAATAAATATAATCACATAAATATTGTTCCTTTTGATTATCTACAGCTTGGGCTACGTTCACACTGCAACCAAGCTAAAGTGGCCCAAACCAGTAGTCCGGTAAGCCATCCTGTACATGTACACATGGTCTGGCTACAACACACAGTCATTGCTTGCTCTTTCAAACTATCTCAGTGCTAGGACCAATTACAGCAGCGATGTCCAAACTGTTCAAGACAAGGGCCAAAACAGTCACGGCAAGAATGTGATTTTCTTAATTTACAAAATTCAAACATTATTTTATATTAATTTTTATTTGTACTCTTCAAAATAAATCCAAAATAGGCTTATAAGTAAAAATCTAAACATAAGTATGTTACAAAGCGGCAATAAACATCCTATTGAAGAGACAAAATTCATCATTCTAGAGGGCTAAAAATGGCCCCCGGGCCGCATTTTGGTCATGCCTGAATTAGAACAAGAAGTGAGACGCACTCCTCGCTGCAGAACTCAGTCAACGGAGCAAATATAGTTTTTCAAAATAAAACTTCCTCTATCTGCTCATGTCTCAAAGAAAAGCTCAAATCGAAATTGTTCAGAGTTGATGCCAAAGCCGTTTCAAAACAGCACAGTCACTGAGCAGACGCCATCTTTGTAGTTTTCACTGACGTGCCAAACCCACCTAACGTCTCTCTACAAACATTAAGTGCTGTGATTGGCCAGACCTAAACTTGTTCGGGGCAATGGTAGACCTAGAATAGAGTGTAGCTAGACTGACCTGCTACGGTATGTTTAGATTTCTAGGCTATCAAGCCAGATTTACTTGCCCACATGTGTCCCTTGTTTGATACTTTTAGGATCATCTGAACAACACAAATCTTTTTTCCTCCTCACAAATAAGACTAATGGCTGCATGGTGGCGCAGTGGTTAGCACTGTTGCCTCGCAGCACGAAGGTTGCAGGTTCGAAACTCTGCTCGGCTGCGGCCTTTCTGTGTGGAGTTGCGTGTTCTCCCCATGCATGCGTGGGTTTCCTCCGGGTACTCCGGTTTCCCCCAGATATCACAACATGCCCTATAGGTTATAAATTGTGAGTTGCTTTGGATAAAAGCGTCTGCTAAATGAATAAATGAAATAAATGAACTAAACTCACTTTCATGTGTGGCAGTCGTGTGACCAAGTCTGCTTTGCAAGTCACAAGTAGGTCATGTTTCTGTTTATGTATTTAGCAGACGCTTTTGTCCAAAGCGACTTACAAGTTATAATCGGCATGTTGCCCTTGAGGCTAACAACAACAATAATAACAACAACAACAAACAATTTCCAGTCAGTGGTAGGTGGCAGTGAGGCAGCGCGATGAATCATGAAGAGGAGAGAACAAGGAGTGGACAGTAGAGGGGGGGATGGGTGCAAGGAAGTTGCTAGTTTAGAAGATGCTCTCTGAAGAGCAGGGTCTTCAGGAGTTTCTTGAAAGTCGAAAAGGAAGCCCCTGTTCTTGTAGTGCTTGGTAGGTCATTCCACATTTGTGGAACAATGTTAAGAGTCTGGATTGTCCTGAGCGTGGTGTAGGCACTGCTAGCCGATGATCCTGTGATGACCGGAGCGGCCAGGCCGAGACGTAAGCCTTTGCAAGAGGATTCAGTTAGATGGGAGCTGTACCATCTCGGACTTTGTATGCTAGTGTTAGCAATTTGAATTTGATGCGTGCTGCTAGCGGTAGCCAGTGGAGCTCAATGAACAGAGGAGTGACGTGTGCTCTTTTTGGATGATTGAAGACCAGATGCGCTGCTGCGTTCTGGACCATTTGAAGAGGTCTCACAGTACAGGCTGGAAGACCAGTTAGAAGGGCATTACAGTAATCGAGGCGGGAGATGACAGTAGATTTCACCAGGAGCTGGGTGGCATGTTGTGTTAGGTATGGTCTGATCTTTCGTATGTTATATAGCGCAAAGCTGCATGAACGAGCAACAGAGGTAACATGATCTTTAAAGGTCAGGTGTTTATCAATCACAACACCCAGATTTCGAACTACCTTTGAAGGAGCCAGAGATAGGAAGTCATTTTGGATTGAAATATTGTGCTGCATGGATGGTTTTGCTGGGATGACGAGTAGTTCAGTTTTAGAGAGGTTGAGTTGGAGATGGTGGGATTTCATCCATTTTGATATGTCAGAGAGACAGTTTGATATTCGTGCAGAGACAGTGTGGTCGTCTGGTGGAAATGACAGATAGAGCTGGGTGTCGTCTGCATAGCAGTGGTAGGAGAAGCCATGTGATCGAATGATCTCACCCAGTGAGGTAGTGTATATGGCAAAGAGAAGAGGTCCTAGTACAGAGCCCTGGGGGACACCTGTGGCAAGATGGTGCACAGCAGAGGATTGTCCAAGCCAAGATACACTGAATAATCGTTCTGTGAGGTACGATTCAAACCAGGCATGTGCTTTCTCTGTGATGCCCATGCTAGAGTGTGTGGACAAAAAGAAGCCATGGTTGACAGTGTCAAATGCAGCCGATAAGTCGAGGAGGATAAGCACCGAGGATTTGGCAGTCGCTCTAGCTTCTTTTAAAGATTCCGTCACTGCTAACAGCAGTTTCAGTGGAGTGGCTCTTTTTGAACCCAGATTGGTAAGGGTCAAGCAGACAGTTTTGTGAGAGGTATTCTGTGATCTGATTGAAAGCCTCCATTTCAATGACTTTGGACAGAAAAGGGAGGAGAGAGAGATAGGTTGGTAGTTCTCCACATGATTTGTAGGAGGAGATGTTTTTTTTAGCAGCAATTTAACCTGAGCATGCTTGAGAGGGGTGGGAAATGTACCGGATGTCAGTGAAGCGTTGATTACATGTGTGACTGCTGCGGCTACTGTAGGAGCAATAGCTTGGAGCAGCTTAGTCGGAATGGGGTAGAGTGGGCATGTAGTAGGGCGGCTGCACGTGAGAAGCTTGGACACACAGTTCTCAGTGACAGGGGAAAAAGAGGAAAATGAAGCAGTAGGGCTTGAGATGGATGGACTAGAATCCGTCATTCTCCGTTTTCATGTGTTGTAAAACCCCCAACCTATCAGGGGGTGAGTGGGCATGGCCAGCTTATTGTCTTGAAGTGATATAACTCTGAAACAGTTCATTGTGGAAGGTACTGAAAATGTCAAAAATAAAACTGCTGAAATGGGTTTATGTGAGATGATTGTTTGCAAAAAAAGTTTTATATCAACCATAGAACAATAACTTTTAAAAAAGTATAGGTCTCATTTAACCACAAATAACAAAAAACAGCAAAGGGTTTTATATTCAGTAACACTCATCTGCCTGTCCCTGCACACAAAAACACTTGTTTTTTTTAAATTCAATATCACAGCCCTGCCACCTTACCCATTTCTCATAAACCTACGCTCTGGTTGAATAGCTGCAAAGCAGACTTTACAAGAAGGCGCAATGTGAGTAATGGTAACAGGAAATATGCAGCTTGTCTGTATGAGTGTACTCCTCTCTAAAGACCACTTCCTTTTCACTACATTCAAAGTAAACTGTAAGCATCTACATAAAAATGTTTTTAGAATGATTAATTGAATATTTGGTGTGCAACTTTAATAAAACAGTAAGTTTGACGTTGTCAGGCGTTTAAATATCTGATGCAATAAATGGAAGCTTGTTGCTGTAAAATGCATATAGCTCTTTGTAATTAAATGGTTGAAAGGCACCTGCTCTTGAGGATTTGGTTCTGATCTGATGAACTTTTTACATAAACCAGGATTAATTGTTAGCAACAGAAGTTGTAGAGTGTTATGCTTGTTAAAGTTTATAATGTTACCTGTAAAGGCACCACATGGGACATTTTAAACGTGACTAAACTAGCTTCTAGGTGAACATCAGACCTACCAGAGGAAGGATAACCAGACGGTAGGATGACCAGCAAGACGGGCAGCAGCCACCTCCTCGTAGGTGTGGCCATTACATTTGTGTCTGTAAACAACAGAAAAGACGAAGAAAACATGTAGCCGCGTTCTAGACAATAATAAACAACGTCTAGAGAGCGAAAAGGAAACAAGTTGGAAGCTTCTGAGTATTAAAAACCAGCTTAATGAAGCGTCTGCATCCATCAGAAAGTTTATGATTCACAAGCTCACGCGCTGGTTGTCAACAGGTCGCAACAGTGTTGCTAAACCGAAAACATAAGTAGTCAGACAATTAGCTTTAACTTTGGTAGGATTACGTGATGAGCACAAAAGATTTACCTCATTGCGAGACAAATAGAGACACAACTGTGAAACTAACGCTGCCTTCTCTGCTCGTGCCCGTTGTGAGCTTTTAGCCCCGCCCACTCCAGGAAATGCCGCTGACGCATGCGCGTGCCTGTATTCTTTGATGCTGCAGATTCTGTACTCTAGCTTCCCGCACGTCTTGAACGTGCTTTTGCAGCACAGGCGTGCTTGTTTTCACCATCATTTCACTGAGCTATCATTTAAAAACATAAATAGACTAAACGGATGACGTACACTGGCACTGAAACCGTGTTAATGAGTACAAACAATAGTTACGCTTTCAAGTTTTACTTTCATTTAGTCACGTAAAACGTGTGATCAGTCATCTCCACTTTTCTTTATGCCTGTTTAAAGGGAGAATATTAGAACGTACCGTACGAGTTGTTAAATGATCATTGCTTCAGTTTTTCTGTGTACTTAGCTTTCTAGTCATTTTCAGATGACTTATGTTTTTCAAGCCAGAAAAACATTGACCGTTCAGACATGAAATGCTTCTAAATCAAACCACTGTTGAGTCAGTTTATGACACAACTACTTGCCTGTCACAAAGACATTTCTTTATCTATGAAAAATACCCCAAATAAACAGTGTGAAAGGTAAAATCATATTTTAGAACAAAAACTGATTTCTAAAGTGTTAACCTGAATAAATGATGTGCAGTCTTTAAAAACTAAGTCAGGTGAGTCCAAAGTGTGGTTTGGGGGCCATTTGCGGCCCTCACTAGCAATTTTAGAATTGTGGAAGTCTCCCCAGGAGACTGTTGATATCAGCGCCTTGGGCTTCCTGACAGGGTTGCGGAAGGCGCTTTATGAATAAAGCTTTGATTGATTGATTGACATAAATTCATATATTTTAATATTTTCAGTTATAAATTTGCATTCCTAAAAAATGTACATTTTTGTGGCCCATGAGGAGTTTTAACTTTATGATTCTGGCCTTCTTGTAAGTTTGGACATCCCTGCTGTAGGTTATACTGACTCAGTGCATGTATCTAGTCCTATTTCAATTACTAACTGCAGAATTCTATGGATCAAGTTAAAAATAGAAAAAAATGATGATTGTTATTTCTCAAATTGTTATAATAAAGATGTAAACATTTCAAATGAAAGCTCTGTGAACTAAGTTGATAAAAATGAAATCTAAAATTGTAAGAATCCAGTATCCTTAAATGAAGATCAGGGATTTGTGAGGTTACATTTTTAAAATGAGGTAAAAAGACACAGAAACATGTTTGTAAGATTTTTACAGTTTTGTGACAGTTTTATTGTTGTTGATTTGAATTTATAAGCATTCTCTCTTACATGAAACAATAGAAAAATAAAATAAAAAATGTTTGCAATCAATAATGGTAGACCTAGAACAGGAGTGACTTTATGCAGCAGTTTTAACAAACATTTATGACATCAAGGTTTTAACAGTTGCAGCAGCAATGGAATTTAATTGGTTTGAAGTCAAAATACACTTTTTAGTGATATTCATCCATCAGCGGAAGAAATTTGACCCAAAATCCTTAAAGATTCACTCATAAAAAAAAGACTGATTTAGGTTCTGTAGAAGTCAAAATAAACGTCCATGTTTGTTGCATGATGAAGTATTAGTGTAAAAATATCATCTGCAAGCACACAGATTTCCAAAGCCAACCCTCAGCAAAGAGAGCTGATCTCACTTTTGCTGCAGCCCCACTTGCAGCAGGCGTTAGACAGCCCCACCACCACATCCCGACCTTTGCGGTCAGCTTTACGAAGAGCCTCCAGGATCTCGTCAGTGATGAAAGAGCGTGTCGACCTGCTGAAAACCCCCTCCTGGTTGTTTCTGGGTGTAAAGCTGAGATCTTTGTTCCTCTGGAGGAGACTTTCCACTGAAAAACTGGGATTCAAACCCTCTGAAGAATCGTCCTGATGGGAACTGAACGGGTCCTCTGGAACATCTGCTGGAGTGGAAAAATGAAAAATCAAACACTGCAGAATTATTTTTTATAACAAATTTAATAACTGGTCGATGTATACTGTTGTTAAAACATTATAAAAATGGCACGAGAGAAAAAGTGAACATAAAATCCTTTTATACAGAGTTTTGAGGAAACAGCAGCTCAGATTTTGAAAGTGGGAAGTGACTGGGTTAGTGTCAAACATAAAGTCCCTTAATTTGAGGAAGTTATTTCAAATCTTAACTGAGCCACTACAAAAAAAAGGTAAAAAATTGATCATTTGCATTGTTTCTTTGTGAGAAGAAAGTCCTATAATTAGTCTCCACTAGCGTTTTTAAATTTATTTTGTATTGTTTTGGTAGAAAATCGAGCAAAAATGTGTACTTTTTGACAGCTAGCAGCCCAACAACATGTGCTGTGTTAGTTCACAAAGCATAGGTGGGAAAGAAATTACTTTAACACAATGAACATACACATTTTAACCACTTTTAAAATAAATAGCAAGAAAAGAAAAGACTATTACTTAGGCATGTGCGGGGTGCGTGGGGGGGCTGCTATTGTAAATTTGACACATCACACCTGAACAGCATATTCTGTCTTCTTACCTGGACCCCTGAGTGATCGTTTCCACCGTGAACCTCCACAGGTGAAGATAACAGCTCGAATGAACTCTCGGCCACACAGCTTCACACCGTACGTCGGATCCTCCATGGGCTGAGCCTCAGCCACAATCAGACACACGGCCAGAACCACAGCTTTCCACATGCTGCAACAAGCAAATGCAATAGACTAATATTCTAACAAGGAAAAGGTAATTTGCTTCAGTCTCCCTGCTTGCCTGAGCTGTGACTCTGCAGGTGACCCAGTGGTGGTTTATAAAGGAGTTTGGAGACATGCATGGCAGACGCTCACACTGCGCATGCAGGCCTTTTCCTGCAAAGAGAGAGATTTTAAAGACAGATATGATGAGAGACCTTTATGCAAACAAAAGGCAGAGCAAAAGCGTATACATGTCGATGAGCAAAAGTGGCCTAATCAACAAATGTGTTCCAGTGTGACGTATAATAGTCACCTTTAGTTGTCCTGAATATTTCTTCAGATACATCAAAACCCTAATAAATAAAATGTTCTGAAATCATCAAAACTAACATAAAAATACACGAGCAAAACTTAGAAAAAATATGTAAAATAATATTTTTTTAGGTAAATTCCTTGACAAAATTACATTTAAATTTACTATTTATAATTGGTCCCAAATACACATGATTTAAATGTCGACTTGCTTAATTTCTAAGAATTAAAAACGTGATTAATATTTAAAACAAAAATCATACAAAAAGATTAGCAACATAAATTAATTTAAAAGCTAAAGATAATTTGACCATTATAAGATTTACTACCACTCTGAGTTTAGCATCCTTCATTTACACCTGACCCTAAATGGCTTGAGACAGTTCCGTTTCCCTTTCCTCTCTCTCTTTTGTTAGCCCTTTGCCAAAAGGTGAACAGGAGGGGCTGAGACAGGTCCTGTGACATTTTCAGAAACAGATAACATAGAAACCCCATTATGAGTCACTAAAACAGAAAACACATTTTTATCTATCCACATAGTCAAAGGTCACTCGTTTAGGAAATTACAATAAAGATGGTGAATCTGTAATGAATGCAAGGATAAAAAAAGCAAACTAAATGGCATTTTGGTAGGGTGGTCACTCTGACACTCATTAGCATATTGCCACATAGGTCATTGTGGCAATATAAAATTTAATCAATTGTACTTTTATTAATATAAATGTAATATAATTTGAAATCATTTGCAACTAATGTTAAAGTTTTTAATTATCAGTCTTTGGTTTTCTGTTGCGTCCCAACTCACTTAAGTTGCTCCTTAGGGCAGTGGTGCCCAAAGGTGGGGTCAGGACCTCACTGTGTGTCCAGAAACACCAAATATGAGGTCCTGTTGTCTCTAAAAATCTAAATTAAATGTTAAAATGGTTCACAACGACACATTTTGCCATGATTCTCACAGGGAACTGAAATAACACAACAAATGGTTATTTGATTGTAAGGCTTGTTTGTCTTGAAAAAAAAACAGCTTGGAATTTAAGGAGTAGAATAATTATGATTTTGCAGAAATTTCAGGGGATAAACATCCTGCAAAAACGTATAATTTAACTGTTTTTTAAAGTCTTTTCCCTGTCTTTCCAATCATTTTATGTCCTGTTAAGTGCCACAACTCTCACTGCCTACGAATTGTGATGTTGAGCTTTAGAAGTTTCTTTGACAGTTAAACATCCCTACCAACTGTCCACTTCCCTGATAAGGACATATCTACTGTTTTACTGATTAAACATCCACTAAACTTGTGGAAAATACAAATGGGTGTGGAAGACTTAAAAAAAGGGGGGGACACTGTGACTTTAAGACATATCGGCAGCACTCAGCCAATCAGCGTAGGGAAGGAGGAGGGAAGGGAGCGGGTGGGTAGCAACAGTTGCCCTGGTGAGGACGAAGCGCCATAGCCACGGTAGCCCTGGCGACCAGAACCCAGCAACGAGAATCAACAACAACAGAATCCGCCATAAAAATATAAAGAAGATAATTCTACGTGTGTGGGATTTGCTTGTGGAACCAGAGGCGAACCTTTAGGTACATTAAACATTTTCTTTCTCTCACGTTTGAAATGTGCCGTTTTCCTCCTTGTTGTTTCACTCAGTGGCCATAACAAGCCACTGCCTCCAAGCGGGGCTAGCCGTACGTAAGCTGCTGGTCCACACGCCAACTGTGTGGCGTGAATGCGGTGGTTAATGTGTACTTCTCTCTGGAATGACTCGGGAGTCTTGCCTGCCATGACGACGCAGTCACAGATGCATAGGCAAGCAGGCCGTTGTTATGGCGATGTCAAATGCAAAAGGTACAAAATGGCGGTTGTTGTAGAGACCAGTTAGCTTGCTGCTCGAGTTGCCTCGCATCAGTTGTTGTCACGACAAGCTTGCTGCTCGTTACTGCTCCCAGCTAACGAGGAGCAAATTTCGCAACAGTGAATATCTTTACTGTTTTCGGGTCATCGTGTGCGGTGGATGGGTTGAAGTCGCTGCTTTTTACTGTTAGCCGACTTTCCACACAAGTGAAATGACGTTTATGTGTCAAAACGAAGACCGCGCTAAAAAAAGTAGCGCTAACAGCAAAGCCTTATATGTTATGAGTTGGTCAGATAGAGGGAGTGGAAGAATAATTAGTGACATTAGAGACAGCTGTGACAGGTGGCGGACGTTCACAGGAAAAGGGGCGTGGTCATGGAGGGCGTTGCACAGGTGCCTGGTAGGTTTGTATGGGATTAGATTTGTGCCAATAGGATCAAGAAAAACACTTTGGAGAGCAAACAAATTTTAAGACATTGAGAGAAAACACATTCGTTTCAAAAGAAAAACTTACGATCTGAATCAGATTCTTAAAATGATCAAGAAAAACACTGACGGTCAAACAAAAATTAAGAAATTGACAGAACAAAAATATTGACTAAAGGAAAAAAACATGTTTCAAAAGTAAAACTATCTGAATCAACTTCTTAAAATGAGTAACAAAGTATTTTTCCTTTTTCTGTTTGCCTCTATGTGTTTTTGTTATCAATTTCCTTAGTTTTGTTCTCGCTGCTCACAGCTTTGCTCTCACTACCAGATTTGCACTTACACTGTCTGGCATTCTCCTTTGCAATCCCTGAGTTTTTGGTTGCAATTCTGACAACCCTTTCGGGTGGGTGGGACTTCTGAGAAGTCCTCTACCATAGGACAGTGTTTTCTCTTGAGTGACAGTTCAGTGACCCAGAAGTGATGTATCCTCCAAGACATTTTTTTTCCACCTGGTCAACAACATGAATTTTGAGCCCCAAACACGTTATTTCTGCTGTCTGTGGTGTCTACTGAGGATCTAAAGTGAGTATTGATAATATACTTTATCTTTTCTTAGTTAATCTGTAAGTTAAGCCACTTTTTAAGTTGGTTTTAACCAGACGTTAGCTCACTAGCTAGCTGCTAAGCAAGCCATTGTGCTAGCCTCAGGACAATGGTCTATTGTTCCAGAGAGACGCATTAAAAACTCATCTTAACATATTCATTACTGGTTTCGTGGAATCAATTATTGCAGTTTATGTTAATAAGTTTGCTATTTTTTCAGGAACCTGTGGAACATCAGACTTTGCAGCTACTGGAGCTAACCTGTGTACTGCTAACAGGCTGTTTTGCAGGTAAATACTCTTTTAGTGGAACTGCAGGATTTTTATGGTATAACTCAGACAGAATCTTCATGAGCTATTGTGGGAAGACATTTAAACTACATTTACATACAGATACATGTATTTTTTATTCCATGTTACTTGGACGGGCTAAACAAGTTCATAGTTCTGCCTGCTCCTTTTTCAGTGAAACAAATGGATTTTATGATGTAACTCTGACTGAATAATTATCTAAGTGAGTATGTTTGATAATAAATTTCTTACCAGTATACAGATCTGACATTTGTTTGTCAGAACAAGACAAATCAGATTCAATGTGCTTTCTGTCACCCTAAATCAGATCCATATCTGATGTTTTTATTACTTAAGTTTGTATGTTCAGTACATTTTATACCACTTTTACATCTCTGAAGTGAATCAGATGTCACATAAGCACTTGAGGAAGTGGGACACTAAATGTAAACAATGGATAAAACAAAATGATATATTTTGTGAGGTACTGGTTAGAGATAGTTGGGAAGCACTGATCTAGGTAATGCACCACAAGCATTTTTATTTTACAAGCTTGTTTGGCATCGAAATAATTACAACCCTCTTCTTTTTCTGTTGCACCTAATACATACATAAACACACCAATTTGTATGTCACAGCTGATGCCTTCATTAAATCTAATAAAACCTATAGTAACTACAGTCTGGTGACTAGTGTTTAGTTTAGCTACATTTAGCTTAACTGGAGTAATATAGTCTAACTCTGCCTCAACTGGTGACTTTTCTACTTCATTGTTGGCCAGACAAAATGTTGCTGCAGAGAAACGCCCAAGGTACTGACCCCACAATAGAAAATCATAATGTCCACATTTATTTCACACAATCTCAAACGTCACACTAAAATTAAACTTTTAGCTCTGATTTAATTATTTCCTTATTGATATCAGTTTTCCCTTTGTTGTAGGTAATCCTCGGGTGTCAGCAGGAGGTGACCACCTGCATAACGGAGCACCCTGGTTCTGAGCCAGTTGCACCTTTGTGCAGCTCTTTGGGGAGACAATGCTCAGCAGGTTAAACAACTGTAAAATTGATTTTGTTCGTAGTTTTTGTTTAGATTTCATACATCACCAGTTTTTCTTTCTTACAGACACATGCCTCCATGTGGTCAGGTGGTGTTGGTGTGATCTGGGAGGGCACACCCATGTCGTCATCTCCTTTTGCCGTCTCCAGGATCATGATGGGAGTTCTCTGTGCCTATAAAGCAGGGGTATTTACTTCTGAGCCTGGAGGGCCGGTTTCCAGCACGTTTTAGTTTTAACTCTGTTTCAACACACCTGACTTCAGTCAGCAGATAATTAACAGGCTTCTGCAGAGCTGCTGCACAGGTAATTCAACCACTGATTCAAGTGTGTTGGAGCAGAGAAACAACTAAAACGTGCTGGATACCAGCCAGCCAGGACTAGAATTGAATACCCCTGCTATAAAGCCTTCCTCCCTCCTCTGGACTTTAAACATTAGTATTTATTATGGTTTACCTGATTTAGTAAATAAATCTCAATTTATAAATTTCCTGTTTTGGTGCCTGTCCATAAAATCCTGCATTAGACACCGAAAGCTGAATGGATACCTTTCATTCACTTTGACATTCAATGTATTTTTAAAGATACACTTGAAACTAATATCAGGTGTTTAACAGAGTGGTGCAAAATAATTGCTAATGTCATGATTTTTGCAATAACTTGACCTTCATGCAGAGAAACTCAGGAGACAAATGAGCTAAAAACAGTTTATTTAAATGTTTGACGGATGACTGAAGAGGTAAAAGCTGGAGATCAGGAACCAGAAGCTTCTGCGAAGAAGAGCAGAGGTTAGTAAGAGGCAACAGGTCAGGGTTTTCTTAGACTGTGCAGGTAGCTTACAGAGATGGAGCCACAGGTTTTAGTGTTTAAAGATCAGAAGGTCCTGAGGTAAAATTGAGTGTTAGTAATGACTAAAGAATGACTTACAAAAGGAAAAGTTTAGGTACTTATGGTCTGAAGTTGTAGCGCAGTCGGGAGACAGCAGAATGGTGGAGAAACAACCAGAAGTCTGGGAGAATGACAGCATGAGTTGCAAGCGGGTGAGCAGAAGGTAGTGGGTAAGCCGACTGCCAGTATGGTTGTGTGATCAGGAGCTTCAAGGAAAGAATTCCCATAGATTTGCATAGAACATGAGAACGTAAGTTTGAAAAACGGCAGTCATGGGCTAGATACGGGTTAAAACACTCTGATGAGTGACCAGCTACCAGCTTTTATTCAAGGATGGGGTTACAGGTGTGTGAGGATGTGCCTGCCCCATGAGAAGAGTTTTCAGGTAAGCCTCTCCATGGTGCTCTGCAATGGTGTCTAGCAAGGCTAATGAAGAGATTAAAGGGAACACAAACCCAGGACTCCGACCCAAACTCCTAACAGCTCACAACGACTCCTCCCACAGGCGGTTGTTCCTCGGGAGTACAGTCACACGCAGCTGCCTGAAGTTAAGCATCAGGCAACCTGTAGGCGATGTAATCATACGTGGCTTCTGAGCATGCAAGTTTATTCTAACTGTACAGCGTACAATAATAATAAAGATTTATATTGTGTTGTGTTGCTCACCTTACAGGTTCTTTTAAAATCTTAACCTGTGCCTGCTTACAGCAGGTCTTTCAGGTCTTTTGAACTAGACACAGAGAGGTTCAGGCACAGGTACTTAGTCAGACTCCTGATATGGTAGAGCATCCACCACCACAGACTCCTGATATGGTAGAGCATCCACCACCACAGACTCGGACAATAGGTCCATATGCTTGTCAGCAGGAAACAATGGAAAAAGATTACCATCAGTACAGATATTTATCCATAGCCATCACTGTGGGTTTATTATACAGCATATGAACTACATGAGGTGGGATTGGTCTGCAGTAGGGATGTGTATTTTTGACTGAATTTATTGTAGGAATATTCAATAAACAGTCCAAACTGATACTTAACATGTATAACATGAGTTATCTGAACCATAATAGCGAGATTTAAATTTCAATGGTGGAAACAAAATCCAATGCACACTGCTGCCAACTAGCGGTCATCATTTAAAGTGCACCAAAAACAAAGAAAATACACAATTGTTTGCATTTAAATTCTTCCAAAAATTAGATACACTGCTTTTGAAAATGGATGTAATATCTCAGGAAAATATATCACGATATATAGCCATATCGAAACAGTTTGAGAATATCGATACAATATCACTGGGAAAATATATTGCGATATATTGTCATATTGATATTTTCTTACATCCCTTGTCTGCAGTGTACTTTGTGTACACTATGGTGTGTCTTAGCTCACCAGCTGCAGTTGATGCATGTGGCCGTGTAGCACTTCAATTGTAATGCAATGTAGTAGTTTTCAATCTAAAAGAAAGAAAAGGATAAATAAAAAAATAGCTTTTAGACAAAAATATAGATTTTATGTAAAAATTAATTAAAAGCATGTTTTTAACTCATTATTGATTATCTGTCCTGGATAACATTCTTTTGATGGAGAATACAGAACACGTGACAGAAAGCACATTGAATCTGATTTGTCTTGTTCTGACAAACAAATGTCAGATCTGTATACTGGTAAGAAATTTATTATCAAACATACTCACTTAGATAATTATTCAGTCAGAGTTACATCATAAAATCCATTTGTTTCGCTGAAAAAGGAGCAGGCAGAACTATGAACTTGTTTAGCCCTCCCAAGTAACATGGAATAAAAAATACATGTATCTGTATGTAAATGTAGTTTAAATGTCTTCCCACAATAGCTCATGTAGATTCTGTCTGAGTTATACCATAAAAATCCTGCAGTTCCACTAAAAGAGTATTTACCTGCAAAACAGCCTGTTAGCTCAGCTTTCTGCTGCTTCCTCTGTAGCAAGTTAGCAGTACACAGGTTAGCTCCAGTAGCTGCAAAGTCTGATGTTCCACAGGTTCCTGAAAAATTAGCAAACTTATTAACATAAACTGCAATAATCAGTTCCATGAAACCATTAATGAATATGTTAAGATGAGTTTTTAATACATCTCTCTGGAACAATAGACCATTGTCCTGAGGCTAGCACAATGGCTTGCTTAGCAGCTAGCTAGTGAGCTAATGTCTGATTAAAACCAACTTAAAAAGTGGCTTAACTTACAGATTAACTAAGAAAAGATAAAGTATATTATCAATACTCACTTTAGATCCCCAGTAGACACCACAGACAGCAGAAATAACGTGTTTGGGGCTCAAAATTCATGTTGTTGACCAGGTAGAAAAAAAATATCTTGGAGGCTAGATCACTTCTGGGTCACTGAACTGTCACTCAAGAGAAACCACTGTCCTATGGGAGAGGACTTCTCAGAAGTCCCACCCACCCGAAAGGGTTGTCAGAATTGCAACCAAAAACTCAGGGATTGCAAAGGAGAAAGCCAGAAAGTGTAAGTGCAAATCTGGTAGTGAGAGCAAAGCTGTGAACAGCGAGAATGAAACTAAGGAAACTGATAACAAAAACACATAGAGGCAAACAGAAAAAGGAAACATACTTTGTTACTCATTTTAAGAAGTTGATTCAGATCGTGTTTTTCTTTTGAAACATTTCATTTTCTCTCAATGTCTTAATATTAGTTTGATCTTCAAAATGTTTTTCTTGGTCCTATTGGCACAAATCTAATCCGATAGGTTTGTTCACGTTACAAAAGTGCAATAAAGGTTATTACATGATAAACACTGAATTATGAACAAGTAGTCAATTTGGACTGAATGGCCTAGAGACTCGGTTCTAGATCTGAATGACTTCATCAGTAAAGTCACTTAGAAATGACTGGTTGGATTCATTACTGCACAGTTTCCTGTTTGTTTTTATTGGTGTTTTTCAAATTCCAAATACTCTTTTCATATTATGATTTTATTGATAAAAGCTATCCAAACCAGCCTGGCTCTATGTGAAAATGTAACTTCTTCCAAAGCCTCACTATTTGTCGTGGTTCTGGTTTAGGAATAACAACTGAAATCAAGCATTGTTAGTAAATAGTGATGAGTTTCTCTACAGCTATGATAGCAATCAGGCCTGAAACTGAACTCAGGGTTTCAAATAACATGGTTAACCTAAGTTCATTCAGTGTTTACAAAGAGGAGCTGTAACTCGTTCACACAGGATTAGGTTGGTTATTATACCTTAATAAACAAAATCATCTGGAAACCGCCTTTAATATTCCTTCAGGTATTTTTTTTTATTTAATACTGAAATTACTTTGTGGATCTGACACATTTAAGTGTGACTAAATAAAAATGAAGGGAGGGGAAATCATTTGGAACAGCTCTGCAGCTTCACATAGAGTGATTTTGTTATTCCTAACGAAACACCACGTGGAGTGTTTATGTGGATTTCACCATAGAAGACTGTAGATCATGTGGAGCTTTATGCTTTAGTCGCTTTAACATAACCTCACAGAGTTATTTCTGTGCTGTCATCGTCACAGTTTTATAAATACTTTCCTTTTCCTTCACCATTTCTACTGTTTTCATTAATCCTAGCAAATATAAAACAATCAAAGACTTAGTACACTTTAAATCTTTCATGTCAGACACAGAGCAGGACAAAAAGTGCAGCATGTGGGATTTTCCAGACTCCTGCAACAGGCACAGCTATTTGAAAGGCTGAAGGCCATGTGATCACATTACATGTAATGAGACACCAGTCTTTATTCCCATCATCCCCTTTTTACAGGTCAGTCACATCAGTTCTATCACTGTTGTCTCTTTCTTACTAATTAGCATTTTCTCTACATATAAAATATCCCCTCAATAGAAAACGTTTGCCCAAAGATTCATTTTAAATTATTTTAGTGATCTATGGTTTTAACCCCATAAAAGAGGGTACTAGTTGTGTGTTTGTAAAAAAAACCTGTCTTTTTAAAATAATTTAAAGCATTTTTAGCTTTTACCAAAAAGTCTATCTTGTGTTTTTTTTTTTACCAGTTGTTGTGATGGCCACCTCAGCCTACGTAGGGGAGATCCAACCAGCAGCTCAAACTCAGGGGGCCGCTGTTACCGTGACACCGGGGCCACCTGATTCTGCCTCCACACCTGCAACCACTCCTCAGTTTCTAGCAGAGATTCAGACTACTGTGTCCATCCCCACGGTCGCCACACCTACGGGCCAGACGACTCCAACAGATCAGACCTCCTCCGTCAGCTCTCAGAAGACTGCAGCGGCGAGCCAAACCCCGACCGCCACACAGGCGCAGCCGGCTCAGACACAGTATGTGACTGCAGAGATCCAGGGTTCCCCCACACCGGGTGGAAACGCTCAGAGCACACCGCAGTACATAGTTGTCACAGTCACAGGTAAGGGATGAGTTTAACTCTGAATCTATGAGTTTGAGTGTTTTTATTCTGCTTTACTTTACAAAATTAAAAGTTGGGAAAATCTAATAATTGTAAAATGAATTTAAATGTTTGAAAAATGTAATTGGTCACAAAGCAGGATCTCAACAAAGTTAAATAAAATCATGTAAAATGTGTCTTTCAGAGGGTTCCCTTCACTCCAGCGACAGCGTGTCAGACTCCAGCCCCCCTCCAGCGGTTGTGCAGACAGGAGTTCCCACCCAGGTTGTTCAGCAGGTGCAAACAGCCCAACAGGTCAAATACAAACAAATGCAGCATTCATTTTGTCATTGTGTGGTCCTAAGAACTTTCTGTACTGAGATCATCTTTGTATCAGCAGAGGTCTGTGGTGCAGGCCACCTCCCAGATAGCCAAAACAGAGCCAGGCACTCAGCTCCGCGTCACCAGTCTTCAGCCTGTTCACATCACACAGGAAGTAAGTCACACACTCTCACACACAGCACCACGGTTCGAAAAGCTGATCTGAAAAAAGTCTGAAAATATCTTTGGCTCTCTCAGCTTCCTTTCATTTTGGTTTAATATTGGGCAGCTGCTCGTCTGTGGTCCAACTTTCCCTCTCTTTGTAAGGATGTCCCCGAGTTAGCAAGGCATCAGAAGCTAGAGGAGCTGCAGCCTCAAAGTATGACAGGAGAGCTTCAGTATCGGGCCTGGAAACCAAGATGCTTCTGTAGCTGCAGATTGTTCAGAGAGCCGCCAGCTATCATTCTCCAAGTAGGTTAGGGAAGTGAGGAAATCTGCTGGGATTGGGCTGAGGGAACGAAAATCTGTGTGTAGCTGAAAAGTATCTGAACTTGAGTCTGTCTGGTTGATAGAACAGGTGATATGCTTTAACAGGATGTGGAAAGACTTACTGGATATGTGGTGTGTGTGTGTGTGTGTGTGATTCTTCAGGTTCAGCAGCAGCTTGCATCGGTACAACATGTGTACACCAATCAAGTGCAGTATGTGGAGGGAGGAGAGAACAGCTACGCCACCAGCACCATGTCAGAGCCAGACTCTCCAGTCAACTGTCATCACTTTCTGTGAATGAAAATGTGTTTAATAATAATAGTTTCTAACGGGTCTGAATGTCTCCCATCCAGTCGCCCCACCACCTTCCCGTACACCGAGACCCCCCTGTACACCCAGACCACAGCTGCCCAGTACTACGAGGCTCAGCCCACTTCAGGCTCACAAGCATCAACTCCAGGAACACCTTTGACCGTTTCTGTGGCTGCTGGTACCACAGAGGGCGTGTCTATGTTTGTGGCCCAGCCCACTAGTGCAGCAGGGGGCGGAGCCACCGTGGTTACCACAGGGGGCACTACCAACGGGTCAGAGGAGGGCGCAGGCACCAATGGTAGCGCAACAGGCAGCTATGTGATCCAGGGGAGCTACATGCTGGGCAGCGGCGGCAGCAGCAGCAGCAGCAGCAGCAACGGAGGGGCAGCCGGGAACAGTCAGAGCTACTCACACACCGCCCGTGCCTCCCCGGCCACTGTGAGTATTACAGAGGGCGAGGAGAGTAGCGTGCCGTCGGCAGACAAGAAGGTATGCAGAGGCGCCAGGCGCAGGAGTTTCTTCTCGTTTCCTTCTCATCCACACAACCCTTCGATGGCGCACACTGATGATGTCATAGTGGAGTTTTGTCAAGTGGAAAGCACAATTCAAAAAATGATGCAGTAAAAGCTGAGGATGAGCTAATTAGTCCTTATGGAAATAAAATTGACAGTGTTTTTTGTAAACTGTGATTTCCTCCTGTAAGGAAACAAAACCATGACCTCATCATTTTCATATCATTGCGGCTGCATGCGACTAGGGGGCATTTATAACCTGCTTGAAATGCTCCAGCTCTCTACAGTTCATCCCAAATTCATTAAGTCCCACATGATAATTCTACCTAAAACGTGTTTGGCAGACATCCCATCAGTATTCCAGGTCATTGATTCATTGCATACCAAAGTTGTATGCCGCGGCACGCAAACGGATCTGTTCATTCTGTAACACAGCAGCCAATGGGAGTGGATTTGTGTTTGTATGATTTACTTATGAGATGCATAGATGTGCATGTGAGTAATGTGTGCAACACAGAGTGTTTCTGTTCAGGATGTGTGTGTCTGATGTGTGTTCAGACTCTTCTAATCGCACCAGCTATTTTCTTTCTGTCTTTTTAACTTGCCTGTGGGTCAGGTACAGTGGTTGCTGGACAACTATGAGACAGCTGAAGGTGTGAGTCTGCCACGATCCACCCTTTACTGCCACTACCTGCTGCACTGCCAGGAGCAGAAACTAGAGCCCGTTAATGCTGCTTCGTTTGGGAAACTCATAAGATCGGTGTTCATGGGGCTGCGCACACGACGCCTCGGCACTCGGTAAGTTCAACAGACTCGTGTAGACCAGGTGCGCATGTGAGGGGACACCTGGCTTATGCCTCACTTGGTTTCTCCAACTTTCATCAACAAAATATTTTACTTCCTAACTTTTCCTTCTAAGTCTTTCTTGATTTGGTTTTGGAGAAGACGTTTTCAGCGTTCCTGCAACATGAGAAGAACAGACTGTCCCTTTATGGATTATAAATGTGCACGCAAACCTAAGTTGGCAGGAACTCTAGTAAAAGTTTTGCACACAGCAAAAAATAAATAAATGCAAAGCTGAATTTTCCATTGATCTGTTCCCTCTAGGGGTAACTCCAAATATCACTATTATGGTCTGAGAATCAAGGCAGGCTCTTCTCTCCTCCGTCTGATGGAAGACCAGCAACATCTGGCTATGAGGCAGCAGCCCTTCTCACAGAAACAGAGGTTTGAACGAACACACTAACGCGTTTCTGCACATTTGTTGTATCTGACTCCTGTTTAGAGTCTTGCTCATCTCCTGGTTTTATATTTTAGAAAGGTTTGATGCCCTTCCCCGCTCTCTGCAGGTTAAAGCCTGTCCATAAGGTTGAAGGGATGACCAACGGCACAGCGGCAGGATCCGGCCAGCAGCAACAGCAGCAACAGGGATCAGGACACGTGGACATCAGCACCCAGGTTCAGCAGTACCAGCAGTTCCTGGGTGAGTTTAGCTCGCAGTTGAATCAATCACAAACTTAAGCATCTGACTTCTTGATTATTTCATCCTTGTTGTGTTGTGATGCCCTCAAAAGTAACATCGATGTCGTTGATGTCACATTTGAAGTGACTTTACTGAGGGTTCGGTGCTGTTTGTCTTCATCCAGATGCGTCCAGAGCTCTCCCAGAGTTCCCAGACATCGACCTCCAGGGGAAGGCTCTGCCAGAGGGCATTGAGCTAGAACACATAAAGAGCTTTCAGCTGCTTTACAGAGAACACTGTGAGGTAATACAGAGAGGTCCCACGAGGACAACACTTTATTTCACCAACTTGCACTAGATATGCTTTAAAATAGATGTTTTCATCTGTTGTTAAAATGAGCGTGAACTAAAAATGCTTCAAGTGGAATAACTGATGAACTCTGGCTCAAAAACACAAAGTCTTTAAAGAAAACACATTCATACCAGTTATTGTAACATAAGTAGGTTTCTGTTTAGACTACTGGGATGCTGGTCCCTCTCTTAGAACTGCTGATGTTTGAGACCTCACTGCTGTCTTCTCCCAGGCCATAGTGGATGTGATGGTCAATCTGCAGTTCACACTGGTGGAGACCCTTTGGAAAACCTTCTGGAGGTTCAGCCAAAGCCAGAGTGGAGACACCACCATGGCTGTGTGAGTTGCATCTTGAGTTAGCTCTAACTAGAAGGAACTAAAGGTCTCCTGTCACAGTGGCAGCACTGTTTCATTTTTACCGGTCGTTGTTTTGACAGTCACGACGAGTCAGAGAAGCGTCTCCCAAAGTCCTGCCTGGTGTTGCTGTGCAAGTACGAGCCGGTGCTGCGCTGGAGCCGCGACTGTGACAACGGCCTGTACCAGAGCCTGGTGGAGATCCTCATCCCTGATGTCCTCAGACCCATCCCCAGTAAGGCTCTGCAACACATCATTACGTTTAAATAGAGCTGGTTTGCATCAGACCAAATGAAAAGTATCATATTTATTTCATGTTGGTGTAAAATCAGCATAAAAAAACCAAATCATACAGAAACCCAACCTTTTCTTGGCCGAGACGCTTAAAAAAGCCCCCTGATGTCTGTGCTTCTGCTCCTCTGTGGAAACCAGCTCACAGACATCTCTGAGAATTCTTTCTGTTTTTGTAGCTTTTAATCCAGAATTTAAAATGTCATCAATTATTTTTTTCTTTTTTACTGATTTACTGCAGTGCTGCCATGCATGAATGCAGAGCTTGAGCGTCCTGGAGATCTGTTGTTTATCTGCACAGCTATAAAATCAGCTACTACTGCAGGATCCCAGACATGTTGGGCGTTCATTCAAAAACATTTTAATCTCTCTTGCTGCCCTCAGGTGCCTTAACTCAAGCCATTCGAAACTTTGCGAAAAGCCTTGAGAGCTGGCTGACCAACGCCATGATGAACATTCCTGAGGAAATGGTTCGCATCAAGGTACCATTGTCTCAGCTGATCAACATCAGAACATTTCCTAAATGATTAAAGAAATCAGCAGTAAAATAATTCATTCAGAACACTAGAAAGCATTCTTCTTCCTATTTACTGTCCAGACTATTCAGGGTTTTTGCAAATGTGAAAGTTGATGCAGTTTTACAAAATGAACAATTTTGAGCTTTTTGTTTATATTTTGGTTTCTGAGCCACGACTCCTTTATTTTTCTCAGGTGACATCAGCCAATGCGTTTGCTCAGACTCTTCGTCGCTACACCAGCCTGAACCACCTCGCCCAGGCGGCCCGTGCTGTCCTCCAGAACACGGCTCAGATCAACCAGATGCTGTCGGACCTCAACCGCGTTGACTTTGCTAATGTCCAGGTTGGTCCAGACCTGGGATCTGCACCTGCAGTCAATTTTTTAGGTCATCCTGCATGATTCCTAACGACTTTGGCTAAAATGATTAAGAACTAACTCATGTTTTTAAATACATGTAAAATGCAGGTTTAAGCAGCTTTTACATGGAATAATTGCACTAGATTTCCACAACAGAATGACACTAAAAGTAATTAGTTAGATCTATGTGTGTGTGTCTGGTTTTTTTTGTTTTTGGCGTAATTTTCCATAAATATCATCACCCCATATAAAAAATATCCACTCTTTGTGCAAAAATCAATTTAAAACAAAATTTTCAGCAGCCTTAATCACCTTTTGTGGATATTTATCAAAGAAAGTCTCTTTTCAAAAGTCCCTGTTGTGCTTTATTTAGACAGACTGAGGAAAAATAGCTCTTTGAGCTGCAGACCCCTGGTCTAGACTATTAATCTGCTCGTGTGTGTGTGTGTGATGGGACTTTCAGTGTCAGTGGTTGACTTTTTTTTTATTTTTGTGCAAATGCACCTATTTCTGCTTGTGGTTTCAGCTAGGTTTGATGAGTGAGGCGTGCTGCTAGTTTAGATCATTCTAACACTTCTCACCAGGAAATCCTTTTCTCAGAAACCTCCTTTTCGGGTGCAGACACAGAATCATGTATTTGGATCTTAATCGTTAGTTTCAGAATCTGACTGTAACATGAAGACTCCATTAAAGGATTTTAGCTTAAGCCAAAGACAAGGACGACTGATGCTGAAGTGTTGAACGTGTCTCGTTGACTCTGCAGGAGCAGGCATCGTGGGTGTGTCGATGTGAAGACCGCGTGGTTCAACGGCTGGAGCAGGACTTCAAGCTGACCCTCCAGCAGCAGAACTCCTTAGAGCAGTGGGCTGTGTGGCTTGATGGTGTGGTCTCTCAGGTCCTAAAGCCCTACCAGCAGAGCCCTGCTTTTCCTAAAGCTGCCAAACTCTTCTTACTAAAGTGGTCCTTTTACAGGTACAATGGGATAAACAAGACCAGGTGCTGATGTGATCTTCAACCACTCTCTCTTTATTCTGCTCTCCCCACCTATTCCGCCTTCCTCAGGATCAACTGATTTCCCTCTTTCCTATTCACTCTCTCTCTTTCTTAACATTTTGTTTTTTAAATCCCAATTGCCTATTTTTGCTCATTTTAAATATATTTTTAAACATTTTCTAAATGCTTTTTTATATTTTTACATTTTTTTTTGTTTTTGTAAAGCACCTCGTGATTTTTATCTTGAGAGGCATTATAGAAATGATATTTTCTTCTTCTTTCATCCTGAAACTGAGCTAAAGCCTTTATTAACCCTCTCAGGCTCAAAATAAGTTTTGATAAAAGGACAAACAACTAAGTCCTTCAGGGGTCCTTCTGAGTTAACAAATACTCATGAAATACGTGTGTGGAGTAACCAGGTAGATAGGTTTTAACTGTTGCAAATCTGCAACGCCTGCCTCCAGAGGGTTAAACACTGTAATATAATACATTTCATGCTCTTACATGCACTAGATTACTTTGTGTATAGGGAAAGAGCCAGAAAAAATGAAAGTGCACAAAATAAATAGAGCTTGTTTTTACCTGTTTTGCAAAACAACATTTTAAAACAAGCTGGTTATTAGGTGTTCTCTGCTAGGTAAAGAGCGTAAGAACTGGAGCATAATGTTTGAGTAGGGGAATTTATTTGTAGGCGGAGCCTGCCCCCTACGTTACACGTAAAGACGTGATTAAAGGTGTCCAGTCAGACCACGCAAGGTTGTGATAGCCCATAATATATATGTGTTGTACCAAGTGAATCAACTGAAAGAGATCATAAAGCCTAGTTTATGCTTCTGCATCAGCTCCACGAGGGAGAGACGCACACACATTGATGGAGACATTTTGCCTTTGGACTTCTCCGTCACCTGGGGAGTGTCGCAAAGCAATCCCCCACCAGGACAACAGAGGGCGTAGCACGGGGCGTTTCAAGTTCGGGCCTCAAGGGCCGGTATCCAGCACGTTTTAGTGATTTCTCTGGTGCACACTTGATCGAGTGTTTGAGTCACATGTGCAGCAGCTCATCAGGCTCTGCAGAAGCCAATCACCTGCTGATTGAAATCAGGTGTGTTGAAGCAGGGTTAAAACTACAACATGCTGGATACCGGCCCTTGAGGCCCAGAGTTGAATAGCCCTGGCGTAGCACTTTACTGAGGTATCCTGTCATGTATCTGGTCCAAGATAATACATTTACTATTGTGTTTGTATTGCGTTTTTTGTATTTCAGAGCTTTTTAAAATAGTCAAATTTGTCCCTCATTCTCCTCCACCTCTTCATGCGCTCGCCACCTCCAAATTCACATTTCTGTCATTTCCATCCACGCTTGATTACACTCTTCCAGTCATGGGTGAATAAAACGTCCATATTTTCAGAGTTTTTCCATGAGGTATTATTCAAGCTGCTCGCTGTCTGCCGCTAGATATCCTTGGCTCTCTTTAGTTTTTGGAGGGTGCAATGGCGGTGCTGTTGACAAATTTAAAGGAAGGAAGCTTGTGCTCTCCTACGACTGGGCTTGACTCCGTGCTTGCAAGCCTGTTGGAGAGCCCTTGCAATGACGGATAATGGCGTTGCATTTCTCAATACTGACGCAGAAGCATAAACTAGGCTAAGTAAGTGTTACTTAATAACAGTACCCTAATCTTGAACAGGCATGACACCCAAATAACCTTCACATTTTCAGATATGGTGTGTCAGGTCAATACACACTCAAATGTACAGGGTAACCGCGTCTTTGTGGTCAGTGGAGTCTGACATTTGCTCTTTCACTGCTCCTTAACAGTGAGTTTCTGTTCCTTTTTGCCGTTAACACGTTTCAGTTTTACAAACAAATCACTACTGAAAATAACACCCTCCACACTTAAAGGAGTACAGTCCCTACATCCCTAATTCAGCTTCCCTTAGATTATTTACAGAAATAAGAACAAATTAATAAGTATTTCTTCCCCTTTGAACATGGAGGCCATGCAGCTGAGGCTTTTGATAAAATTAGCAAAATGATCGAGCTGGCCGAGTAAAGAATGTCTGTAAAGTCACTTGCACACAAGTGTTGGGCTGTTCACATAACATTTGCGCCTCTCAATCTCATCTGCCTGTGACCCAGAAATCAAAAACATGCATATGAAGGAGACAGGACGTGGTATGAAGATCTATGATGACTTTCTACCAGCCATCTTTTGTCTATAAAACCCAATAGTTGTTTAGGACCAATGTTATAACCTGGGCTAAGATAAAATAAACCCTCTGATTTTCTGTTTAAACCACATACAGATGTGGACAAAATTGTTGGTACCATTCGGTCAATAAAAGAAATAACTTGAATCTGAAAAAAGTAACAATAGATAACAATTCTATCAAATTTAACCAGTGAAAGTCAGACATTGGTTTTCAACCATGCTACAATGGAATAAAAAAATACATTAATGAAACAGGCCTGGATAAAAATGATGGTACCCCTAGAAAAGACTTAATGTGATCAAAAGGACAGGTTATTTAAGGTGTGTCCACTAATTAGCATCACAGGTGTCTACAATCCTGTAATCAGTCAGTGGACCTATATACAGGTCCTTCTCAAAAATTTGCATATTGTGATGAAGTTCATTATCGTCAGTAATGTACTGATAACCATTAGACTTTCATATATATTAGATTCATTACACACAACTGAAGAAGTTCTAGCCTTTTATTGTTTCTAATATTGATGATTTTGGCATACAGCTCATGAAAACCCAAAATTCCTATCTGAAAAAATTAGCATGTCATGAAAAGGTTCTCTAAACGAGCTATTAACCTAATCATCTGAATCAACTAATTAACTCTAAACACCTGAAAAAGATTCCTGAGGCTTTTAAAAACTCCCAGCCTGGTTCATTACTCAAAACCGCAATCATGGGTAAGACTGCCGACCTGACTGCTGTCCAGAAGGCCATCAATGACACCCTCAAGCAAGAGGGTAAGACACAGAAAGAAATTTCTGAACGAATAGTCTGTTCCCAGAGTGCTGTATCAAGGCACCTCAGTGGGAAGTCTGTGGGAAGGAAAAGGTGTGGCAGAAAACGCTGCACAACGAGAAGAGGTGACCAGACCCTGAGGAAGATTGTGGAGAAGGACCAATTCCAGACCTTGGGGGACCTGCGGAAGCAGTGGACTGAGTTTGGAGTAGAAACATCCAGAGCCACTGTGTACAGGCGTGTGCAGGAAATGGGTTACAGGTGCCGCACTCCCCAGGACAGGCTGCTTTTGAACCAGAAACAGCGGCAGAAGCACCTGACATGGGCTACAGAGAAGCAGCACTGGACTGTTGCTCAGTGGTCCAAAGTACTTTTTTCGGATGAAAGCAAATTTTGTATGTCATTTGGAAATCAAGGTGCCAGAGTCTGGAGGAAGACTGGGCAGAGGGAAATGCCAAAATACCTGAAGTCCAGTGTCAAGTTCCCACAGTCAGTGATGGTCTTGGGTACCATGTCAGCAACTGGTGTTGGTCCACTGTGGTTTAACAAGGGCAGGGTCAATGCAGCTAGCTATCAGGAGATTTTGGAGCACTTCATGCTTCCATCTGCTGAAAAGCTTTATGGAGATGAAGATTTCATTTTTCAGCACGACCTGACACCTGCTCACAGTGCCAAAACCACTGGTAAATGGTTTACTGACCATGGTATTACTGCGCTCAATTGGCCTGCCAACTCTCCTGACCTGAACCCCATAGAGAATCTATGGGATATTGTGAAGAGAAAGTTGAGAGACGCAAGACCCAACACTCTGGATGAGCTTAAGGCCGCTATCGAAGCATTCTGGGCCTCCATAACACCTCAGCAGTGCCACAGGCTGATTGCCTCCATGCCACGCCGCATTGAAGCAGTCATTTCTGCAAAAGGATTCCCGACCAAGTATTGAATGCATAACTGAACATAATTATTTGAAGGTTGACCTTTTTTGTATTAAAAACACTTTTCTTTAATTGGTCGGGTGAAATATGCTAATTTTTTGAGATAGGAATTTTGGTTTTTCATAAGCTGTACGCCAAAATCATCAATATTAGAAACAATAAAAGGCTTGAACTACTTCAGTTGTGTGTAATGAATCTAATATATATGAACGTCTAATGTTTATCATTACATTACAGAAAATAATGAACTTTATCACAGTATGCTAATTTTTTGTGAAGGACTTGTATAGGCCTCCGGGCTCACTGTGTTGTTTGGTGACATGGTGTGTACCACACTCAACACAGACCAGAAGAAGCAATGTAAATAGTTGTCTCAGGAGATTAGAAAGAAAATTATAGAAAAGCATGCTAAAGGTAAAAACTATAAGACCATAGGTGTTCCTGCTCCTGTGAGTACAGCTGCACATATTCACAAATTTAGGATCCATAGAACTGAAGCCAACCTCCATGGACATGGCAGCAGCAGGAAAACTGATGACAAATCAAAGAGACGAATAATCTGAATGATAAAAGAGCCCAGAAAAAACGAGATCCAAGGTGAACTTCAAGCTCAAGGAACATCACACCATCCGTCATTGTTTGAGCCAAAGTGGACTACATGGGAGACGACCAAGGAGGACACCATTGTTGAAAACAAATAATAAAAAAAAACAGACTGGAATATGCCAAACTACATGTTGACAAGCCACAAAGCTTCTGGGAGAATGTCCAATGGACAGATGAGACAAAAATGAAACTTTTTGCCAAGGCACATCAGCTTTATATTCACAGATGGAAAAATGAATCATATCAAGAAGAACTGTCCCTTCTGTGAAACATGGAGGAGGCTCTGTTATGTTGTGGGGCTGCTTTGCTGCATCTAGCACAGGGTGTCTTGAATCTGTGCAATGAAATCTCAAGACTATCAAGGGAAATGTGCGGGCCAGTGTCAGAGAGCTTTGTCTCAGTCGCAGGTCATGGGTCTTGCAACAGGACAACAACCAAACACACAGCTAAAAACACCCAAGAAGAGAAAAACATTGGACTATTCTAGCATTGATTGCCTCAAAAGGATGTGCAATAAAATATTAACTTAGAGGTACCATCATTTTTGTCCAGGCCCGTTCCATGAGTTTATTTTTTTCAATAATTCTTTTGAAGCATGGTTGAAAAGCAATGTCTGACTTTCATTGGTTAATTCAGTTCAATTCCATTCACTTCACTTTATTTATATAGCGCCAAACTACGACAAGAGTCGTCTCAAGGCACTTCACAAAGCAAAGATTCCAGTACAGTTCAGTTCATTAAGCCAGTCAGTAAAAAGTTTTCTATATAAAGAACCCAGTCAATTTCATCAAGTCACTGACAAGTGTCAGTGTCTTTACAGCAACCCTCATATACTAAGCAAGCATGTAGCGACAGCGGAGAGGAAAACTCCCTTTTAACAGGAAGAAACCTCCAGAGGATCCTGGCTCAGTATAAGCAGCCATCTGGGGATCAAGAAGACAGAACAGACACACGCAAACACACACAGTGACACAGTGGTCAGTATGCCCTCCAGTAGTTTAAGCCTATTGCAGCATAACTACAGAGATAACTCTGGATAACCTAGCCTTTTAGATGGAGGTATGTTGGAGGCAGGGCAAGGGAGAGACCCTACTCATCCAGATCTGGGCTAACATCAGAATTTAACTATAGACCCTGTCAAATAAAAATGTTTTAAGCCTAGTCTTAAAAATAGACAAGGTGTCTACCTCACTGACTAAAGCTGGGAGCTGGTTCCTTAAGAGAGGAGCCTGATAGCTACAAGATCTGCCTCCCATCCTATTTTTAGATATTCTGGGAACCACCAGTAAACCTGCAATCTGAGAGTGAAATGCTCTGTTTGGAACATATGGAACAATCAAGTCACTGATGTATGATGGAGCTTGATTATTAAGAACTTTGTATGTGAGAAGGAGGATCTTAAAATCTATTCAAAATTTAACAGGCAGTCAGTGTTGGGAAGCTAAGACAGGAGAGATATGATCTCTCTTTTTAATTCTCATGAGAACTCTAGCTGCAGCATTTTGGACAAGCTGAAGACTTTTAACTACATTCTGTGGACTTCCTGATAGTAATGAATTACAGTAATCCAATTCCATTTTTGGTTCTTTTTTTAAACACAGGAAAGTTTTGTCTTTACCTTGCTGACTTACGTTTTGTTTGCCTGAGAGGATGTTTTGCAGTCGGCAAACAAAACGTACATCAGCAAGGTAAAGAAAAACCTTTCCTGTGTTTTAAAAAAGAACCAAAAATTGAATTAGAAACTAAACACAGTAAGAACACACCAAAGATACAGTAATCCAGTCTTGATGTAATAAATGCATGAACTAGTTTTTCAGCATCACTCCTGGAAAGGATGCTTCTAATCTTAGCAATATTCCGAACATGGAAGAAGGAAATCCTACAAACCTGTTTAATGTGGGACTTGAATGACTTGTCCTGGTCGAAGATAACACCAAGGTTCTTTACTTTGTTCTCAAAGACTAATTGAATGCCGTTCAGATCAGGTAACTGACTAAGCAGTTTCCTTTTTGGAAGTTCCGGTCCAAAGATGAGAACTTCAGTCTTGTCTTGATTTAAAAGCAAAAAGTTTTGAGTCATCCAACTTTTTATGTCTTCAAGACAAGCCTGTAATCTACTTAACCAATTAGTTTCATCAGGATTAATGGATAAATATAACGGAGTATTGTCAGCATAACAGTGGAAGTTTATCCTATGCTGTCTAATGATTTTACCAATTGGAAGCATATATATATATATATATATATATATATATATATATATAGTAAAAATAATTGGTCCAAGCACTGAACCCTTTGGTACTCCACAAGTAACGATATGTCATGTACATTAACAAAATGAAATCTGTCAGACAGGTAGGATTTAAACCAGCCTAGCGCTGTTCCTTTGATCCCTACAACATGTTCAAGCATTTCTACAAGAACATTGTGATCAACTGTGTCAAAGGCAGCACTGAGATCTAACAAGACTAGAACATACACAAGATTCTGATCTGAGGTCATGAGAATATCATTTGTAACTTTCACTAATGTGGTTTTAGTTCTGTGATATGCGCTAAAACCAGACTGAAATTCCTCAAACAGATCATTAGTGTTTAGATTCCCACATACTTTTTGGCCACCATTTTCTCAAGGACTTTGGGTAAAAAAGGAAGGATAGATATTGGTTTATAATTCATTGGGTCATCTGGATCCAGAGAAGACTTCTTAAGTAAATTTTGATTAAAATAACCTTAAAATCCTGTGGTACATATCCATTTACCAAGGATAGATTGATTAATTCTAAAATGGGGGCAGTAACCAAAGGAAATGCATATTCAAAATAATTTGGTTGGAATTGGATCTAAAATAGAAGTTGAAGGTTTAGCTGAAGCTAATATTTTTGATAACTCTGAAAGCTCAACTGAATCAAAACAGTTCAAACACAGATGAGGTTCTACAGTTACCTCTGATGCTGCCTCACTTACTGAGGAAGATGAAATGACATTAGGGAGGATGCTAATGATTTTGTATCTAATAGAATTAATTTCATTCATGAAGAAACCCATAAAGTTACATTTCATAGAAGTTGTATTTAGTATCACTTTTGTCACATTCAATTTATTTTTCTGACCATTGTGGGTTTTTCTTTCATTGACCAAAGGGAACCAACTATTTTGTCCACATCTGTAAAACATGTTACCACAAACCAAAGCTGCTGCCAGTGGCTCACATTGTGATCAAATCTGAAGATCAGGCAAATGGAGATAAGGATGCTTCAATACTTATTAATTGACTCTTTTAGTAACTCTAAAAGCAGCGATGACTCATATTGTTAGATTACTACTCCACTTCCTGTTTCCTTGTTGTGTTTTCTGCTCTCAGAACAGGTGGGAGGGGCTAAGATGTTAGGACAGAAGTTTAAAGAGTAAAAGAGGATGTAGAAAAGAAGGAATTGGATAAGGGGTGTGTCATAGTAACACACAGAAACCTGGTTTTCTTGACAGAACTGATTTTTATGTAACAGGAGTTTCTTTCTCTCCCTGCTCTCCAGTTCCATGGTGATCAGAGACCTGACTCTGAGAAGTGCTGCCAGTTTTGGTTCCTTTCACTTGATCCGTCTGTTATATGATGAGTACATGTACTACCTTATAGAGCACAGAGTGGCCCAGGCTAAAGGAGAGACCCCCATTGCTGTTATGGGAGAGGTACACACACACACACACGCACGCACAACAATAATAGAAGCCATATTTAACCTCTCATCCTCTCCTGCATCAGTTTGCCAGTTTAGGTCGAGGTCTGAACACGCTGGATCCTGACAAAGGTTTGTTCTGATCCTGCCTCATCATCAACTTTAACTCCTGCTACTTCTAAGCATCAGTCATAACCACATGTATGTGTCAATCACAGAAGAGGAAGATGAAGAAGATGAGGAGAGTGAGGAAGAAGGTCAGGAGCTGTCTCTCCCCTCTGACGGAGCCGGGCTCGGGGAGGAGTCTCTGGAGCCGCCGGCCAAGTTAGCCAGAACCGATCAGCGAGTCCTCTTCACCACCGGCTCAGCTGATAACTAACCAGAGACACGTGTGCTGCTAATATTCACCACACAGATGTACAAATAACCTTTATACATTTGATATGTGTGAATAGATCCTGTCCACCTTTCTTCTCACTGCAAACTGTTTTTATTGTGTATGTTTAAACACACACAGTCAAAACACACTTAGTCATAACTGCTGCTGCCTGGACGGCACAATCACCTTTCAGCACCGTTCATTTATTCCAAAAACACTGTTGTTGCAATAGGATGTGGCTTTGAAAAGCAGGGTCCTTAAAAACAAAGAGAACCACAGAACATTTCACCCCTCAGCTGTATGATTCTGTACAAACCAACGGCCACGTTTCATTCCTGTTGTTACGCTGAAACCTGTTGCCTCACAGACCCTCCTGAAGTTTTCACTGCCATGTCTAGGTGGTCTGGAAATGCTGCATTGTGTATAGAGGTCACTTTTACAGGAGGAGTGTAAAGAGGAGTCCACATTTACTTATTGAAGTGCTACATGATGCTAAAGCGAGGGGGAATGTGTAAAAGAGCACACATTAGGGAGTTTGTTCTGTTTGCTGTTATTTCTACAGTTGTGTGATTGTGACACATGCTAAGTGTTTCTGTAGATATTTTCTTATAAATGTTTCATTATGGAGGTATGGTAGACGCCCTTTCTGATTTGATTCACCTGTAAAGGAGGTTATTGTTGGTTTGTGGAGTGCCTGCTGCAGCTGCTACACACTTGTATAAAGAAAAAAAGCTCTGGCTGTGGAGCAGGAACTCCTGTTAGTGGCTGCAAAAGAAAAAACCTCACTCTTATTGAATGTGTGATCTGACTAAAGATGTTCTGTATGTGTCATTTTTTCTGTTTAAAGTGCTATAACCCTGTACTTGTAATAGGTTCCTCTGTGGCCTCATTTTCCTTCACTTTCGATTTTCTTGCCTTCTTTGGAATTGTTCAGTTTTCCACGCACATGTGTGCCAAACCGCTTTCCTTTCATCCCAGATTCTTGTGGATTTTAAATTCTCTTCCTCTGTGGTTTTAGGAGGTCTGTGCCTGAGTAAGAACAGTGATGACATTGACTGTATATTTATCCACTTCTGTTGAACTTTGGTTGTCACTAAGTGAACCTCTTGTGCAGTGTATGGTGCTGTGTTGTCACGCATTGTAAGCAACATTTGTGTACTTTTATTGATTTGTGATTGTTTGTTGGGTTATCAATCCTCTTTCATATCTGATGACCTTTGAACCACAAACAGGCCTCAGCCCAGCCTCTTTGCACATGTCCACTATTGTTTTTAAAACTCTAGAGTCATCTGAGATGTTTTCTCATGATCTTAGGCGTGCTGTTGGTGGTGAGATGGAGGCGTCAGATCACATGTAAATATCTGGTTTGGCTCCGTGCTGTTCAGAGAATCTGGTGAGAGGAGAGAAACTTGAAAGCTTTTCTTCTGCACTCATCTCACTGCGTTCCAACTCCCACTCCTGATGGCTTGTTTTGCTTCAAACATCCATATTCTTAAACACTGCTCATCCACACTGGTTGATGTAAACATGTCATTTTTAAATATCTCAGAGCTTTGGTCTAAATAGCTGCAGGTCACGTTTCCAACAGGCACTGTCAGCTCCAAAGCAGCACATGATCTTAGAAAGTGGAGTTTAATACCAGCTGCAGTCTTTCTGCCATCTTCATCCTACAAAATGGTTTAAACAGTAAACATGTTAAGTCATTTTTATAGTGTATTGTTTCTGATGTACAAAACAAAGTGGAGACAGAAATAAAGCAGATGTTCAGTGGCAGTGTTTTATGAATCTGGTCTGCTATAAGTATGACTGTGCCTTTGGAGGTGGTAGAAAGCAAATCAGAGGTTTTTCATTTTAAAGGAAATAAATTAAAGACAGTTTTTAAAGTTGCACTGGTGTTCTCCTTTTTACATTTGATCTTCCTTAAAACGTCATCAAAGTGGACTAATGGGAGCTCAGCAGGTTTATCATGATTGTGGCCAAAACTCACTGTGGGTGGAGGACTCTCAGAAACCGTGATACTAAAGAGGATCCAGTTGTAGCTGGTAGACAAACAACTGTAGGACTAAAATATTAAAATTAACCCTTTTAAGCAAAGATTTTTCTATGTGGATCTGGTCGTTTTCACTATTGTTGAATTAAAACCACAAAAAAGTGCACATTGAATTGATTTTATTACATAAACATTGATAAAGTTGAGCCAGATTCCAGATGTTTATGATCAAAACCAATAAAAAGAAAGAAAACTTGTTACATAAAGATTTCTGAAGTGCATAAGTTAAAATAACAAAAATAGCAATGATTGTTTTTCTAATTATAATCTGGATAATTCTGATTACAGATTATTTAATCACATTCATACCTTCCTGTAATGTTGCACAAACATCTTACAGCTGCAAAAACTCAAAACAGATTTTATTAAAGGCACTGAACAGTCATCATCTTTATCTGAAACAGAAACTTATAAACTAATAAATTTGATATAATAAAAGATCTAATATTTGATGATCTGATGTTTGTGTTTTAAGTGAGTTCAGGTTAGGTTTCAGTTGTGTAAAACAGAGAGGAGCATCAAACTTTTTAAGTTAATTACTTTGTTTAAACACATTTTGATAATAAAATTATAATAATGTAATGTCCAGAAATGGTCAATTTTCACCTACAGATTGACCTACATTCCAATGGTCATCTGCAGACCTAATTCTATCCTCTAAAATGGATTTTACACTCTTAACTTCCTGAAGCCCAGAAGGATACTGCAACCTTGTTGACATTTCAGGAGGAACACGTCAGCCTGTGTTCCCAAACAAAGCCTTCTTTGATAGCACCACAGGAGTGCCCTTTCTCTGAATAAAGTGAACATTTTCAAGAAATGAAATTAACAAATTTTATATGGATAATAATAATGTTTTGATTAATCTGTGCTTAAATCAATAAGGTTTGAATGATTTATATATATGGTAATCAGTAATGTTTGATTTGACAAGGCAATCGTTAACTGCACCCAGACACAAGGACAAATTAAAGTGAAAGGGACTTTACGGACTTTTGAATTTTTATGCTCGCGATTGCCCCCTCAGGCTGAGACAGTCCCGTGTGTGTGTGTGGCCCAGAGGACAGAGGACAGAACGCGCAGCTAATTAATTAAATAATTTGGTTCTCTACCTTTCTCTTCAGCACAGCCGACAAAGGTTTATGATGGGTCAGTCCTCCTGCATGCTCAGATCATTCCCTTCCCTTGCTTGAAAAATTGTTCCAAAATGACAATTGAACCCACATCTTTTTTATCTGTGAATGCAAAGCCGTTCAGCGAGTCTCAAATAAAAATTTGGGCATCTTACTGTAAAAAAATATACCATTAATGTAAAAAATAAACTCTAAATAAACTATGTTCACATCCAGAATCAAACCCAGGTCTTCTGCGTGAGAGTCAGATATCTTACAAGGTGAGCTACACTCTAGTAGCATTCACAGCATCTGTAACTTTTATATCCTTGATGACACCTTAAACAACGTCAAACCAAAGAACGGTTCAGAGTGAAAATGGCTATTTTGTTGCTAATTTGCAGGGAATATCTAGAAGAAAGTTCTACAGAAAGTAGCTAAGGGTCCTCAGAAATGTAGCTAGGTTTGTCACTAGGCATTAGGAACGTCGCTGAGTTGGCACTACCTCACTCTCTGCTGCTAAAGCTACGGATAGCAAATGCTACGGGCTATGCCTGAGCGTGAACGCGCATGAAGCAGCCTGCTCGGCCCGAGCAACTCTCTTTTTCTGTGATTTTACAGAAAAACAGGCAATCACAGTAAAAATGCCAGGGCTCATTCTACAGGACCAGGGCATTGCAGGAGAATGTATGAAGAAGAAATTTATTATTTCTATACATGTTTTGGCTGTCAAACTTCCATAATGTCCCTTTAAGTTAAACTCATGACACATAGATATTTCTTTACCCCAGATCAGAGCATCCGTCATCTTAAGAAGGCGTGATGTCTGAGGTTTTCTTGGTAATATCCCTTAACATGGCACCCTCCGATTGACCAAGTAAATCATAATATGAGAATATTAAAACAGAATCACTGTGGTGATTCAGCAGTCGCATTCCAGCTTTCCATCATTCAGCGTTCAGTTCTAGAGAGCGCTATGGAACGGCCATCCAGATTGAAGCCTCTTTAACCCAGAGCATTTTTGGCAAGCTGCCAAAACCCTGCTAAAATCTGCCTACCGCTGACATAGCAAACGGTTTCTGCAGAACAAAGCTGATATTGTTCCAACTCCTTAAGAGTCCTCCGAGATGCAAATGGTCCCATCCATCTGTTGTGACCCAGGAAATCTCTGGATTGGAGAGTCGGTGCTGTGGTTATGCTACACACCTCGGTGCCTAGAGGTCATCCGACCTCCCTGACCTTTGGATCCATGAAGAGGGTCTCCAAGAATGGGTGAAGTAGACAAGTAGACACACAAATAGGGTCAGATGCCTTTCTGATAAGAATCAACTTCATAGCTTAACGCAAACCAAATTCTTCCCTTTTACACCCAGAACTCAGTTCTTCTAGATACGAAAGTTCTGGTAACATCACATTCACATATAGTCACCATACGTCACATTCCATCAGAGGATCTTTCATGGATGAACTATCAAGGAGTCGGAGTACCCGGCCCGGAGGGTTACCGAGGTCCCACCCTGGAGCCAGTCTTGGGGTTGGGGTCCGTGAGCGAGCGCCTGGTGGCCGGGCTTTTGCCCATGGGGCCCAGCCGGGCCCAGCGCGAACTGGATACATGGACTCATCCAACTGTGGACCCACCACCCGCAGGAGGAACATGAAGGGTCCGGTGCAGTGTGGATCGGGTGGCAGACCGAGGCGGGAGCCTTGGCGGTCCGATCCCCGGACAAGGAAACTGGTTTTTGGGACATTGAACGTCACCTCGCTGGTGGGGAAGGAGCAGGAGCTTGTGGCAGAGGTTGAGCGGTACCGGCTAGATATAGTCAAACTCACCTCGACACATAGCATTGGCTCTGGAACCCAAGTCCTTGAGAGGGGTTGGAAACTCTCCTTTGCTGGAGTTGCTCCGGGTGAGAGGCGGAGGGCTGGGGTTGGCTTTTGTTAGCCCCAAGACTCTCTGCCTGTGTGTTGGGGTCTACCCCGGGGGACAAGAGGGTAGCTTCCCTGCGCCTTCGGGTCGGGGAATGGGTCCTGACTGTTGTTTGTGCTTATGGGCCAAATATCAGTTCAGAGTACCCACCCTTTTTGGAGTCCCTGGGATGAGTGCTAGATAGTGCTCCATCAGGGGACTCCGTTGTCCTGCTGGGGGACTTCAATGCTCACGTGGGCAATGACAGCATGACCTGGAGGGGTGTGATTGGGAGGAATGGCCCGCCTGATCTGAACTCGAGTGGTGTTTCGTTATTGGACATCTGTGCAAGCCACAGTTTGGCCATAACGAACACCATGTTCGAACATAAAGAGGCCCATTGGTACACTTGGTACCAGGGCAGCCTAGGTCACAGGTCGATGATAGACTTTGTAGTCGTGTCATCTGACCTGCGGCCGTATGTTTTGGACACCCGAGTGAAGAGAGGAGCGGAGCTGTCAACTGATCACCACCTGGTGGTGAGTTGGATCAGATGGCAGGGGAAGATGCCGCATAGACCTGGCAGACCCAAATGCATAGTGAGGGTCTGCTGGGAACGCCTGGCAGAAGAACCTGTTAAGACGGTCTTCAACTCCCACCTCCGGCAGAGCTTTGACTGCGTCCCGTGAGCAGTGGGGGACATTGACTCCGAGTGGGCCTTGTTCCACTCTGCGATTGTTGAGGCGGCTGTCGCTAGCTGTGGTCGCAAGGTGGCCAGTGCCAGTCGTGGTGGCAACCCTCGTACCCGCTGGAGGATACCAGAGGTTCGGGGAGCTGTCAGGCTGAAGAAGGAGGCCTACAGGGCGTGGCTGGTCTGTGGGTCTCCGGAGGCAGCAGACAGGTACCGGATAGCCAAGCGGGGTGCAGCAGTGGCAGTTGCCGAGTCAAAATTTCAGGCATAGGAGGAGTTTGGTGAGGCCATGGAGAAAGACTATCGATCGGCTCCAAAGAGGTTCTGGCAAACTGTCCGGCGCCTCAGGAGAGGGAGCCAGCAACTCGCTCACACCGTTTACAGTGGGGATGGGGAGCTGCTGATGTCAACTGGGGCTATAGTCGGACGGTGGAAGGAATACTTTGAGGAGCTCCTCGATCCCACCTACACGCATTCCGAGGAGTAACCAGAGCCGGGAGACCTGGGGATGGACTGTCCAATCTCGGGGGCAGAAGTTGCTGAGGTAGTCAAACAACTACACAGCGGCGGAGCACCGGGGGCGGATGAGATTCGTCCTGGGTATCTCAAGGCTATGGATGTTGTAGAGCTGTCGTGGTTGACACGTCTCTACAACATTGCGTGGTCATCAGGGACAGTTCCTGTGGAGTGGCAGACCGGGGTGGTGGTCCCCATCTTTAAGAAGGGTGACCTGAGGGTGTGTTCCAACTATTGGGGGATCCCACTCCTCAGCCTCCCTGGAAAGGTCTACTCCAAGGAACTGGAGAGGAGGGTTCGATCGATAGTTGAATCTCAGATTGAGGAGGAGCAATGTGGTTTTCGTCCTGGCCGTGGAACTGTGGACCAGCTCTATAGAGCTCCGGACGTCTCTTGACTCTCAGAGAGTAGACGCCATGTTGGCAGGCAACAAAGGTAAACAAAATGAACGGGATCAGCTTGGATTTTACTTCGTCGGAGTTTGCTTCACACTTTAAAACCGAAGAAATCGTAGACTAAACATCTCCAACCCTTACCGTGCCCCTGGGATACTTTTTTAAAACGCCAGAAGCTGTCGGAGTGGACCTGGCTAGGGAACGCCTTGGGATTCCC